CTAAAACATTCCCTAAGGCGTCAGGAAAGGCACGGTTTCGAGAATTAGCCAGATAAGAATGGCGAGTTTCCTTTGATCCAGTCTATGGACTGATGGCATTACGGCGACTCTGCTAATAAGGCTGCAACAGAGGCACGTAGAGATACGCAAACAAGCTACCGGCACATCTAGGTGCGAATTCCGACCCAACCACGACCACAAACTGTTTACGACCAATTGTTATCGCGATAAGCCCGACGGGGCGGAAATATGTGGTTCGGGGATGAGGAAAAACAGATAACCAGCAGCATCAAACCGGAGTTCCCCACAGTGAACGGGGATTTCGAGTTGCTGTGGAAGGTTCATAAAATTTCAACGTAACTCACCAGTATCCACAATTCAGGATCAAGACGAACCGACGAAAACAGTAAACATATATATGGAAACTATTTTCAAAGACTCCGTAGATGTGTGGAATTATTGGGCCTCCCTCCTGGAGTTCATCCAAAGGAAGATCAACCGATTTCAGTGGCGTTCAAAAAGCGTTCAGCTGTAGCACCCTTCCGGTACCTAGCTGTCATGCCACCCGAAGGAAACATGAGGGCTGGGATACTGCCAGGTTGCCCAAGCCTAGACAGGGGAAGTCGAGTGTCGGAGGTCGGATTCGAACCACGGACCTTCCGGTCAGTAAATTCGCGCTCTAACCACTTGGGCCATCTCGCCCTGGCAGTGATGGGGAATTGCATTACGGATAGATTTCGTCCTAAATCCTTGTTTTCGGCCTGTATGAAATGTTTTGTCAGACAAAAGAAAGTAAAGTGCGATTTTCTAATCGACGGGTCCCGACTCGAGTTCGCTAAATGGCTTCTGGGACGTCCCCGTCAAAAGCATGGGTAAGCCCTTAAGGCTTTCTAGGGATTGCATACTAAGAAAAAAAGGGAGTATAGTTGAACGCAGAGCAGTGTAACAAGATGCACGCAAGAGAAAGGACATAAGTCTGGTGAGAGACAAGACTTCACAGCCATCTATATTTGCTCAGATGATAGTAGTCTACGGGAACAGAGGGATAATTTCCAGGACGTTGGACGAGCGGACAGAAATATAGCTGGGCTGACAGCTGGACTGTAACAACGACGACAACTATCTGTAGGCAAATGCATACGCAAGTCATTACATTATGAATCACAGAAGATGAAATCCAGCAAAGAAAATGAACACTAACCAATCATCACAAATGCTCAAAGGTGGAAGACAACTGAGCATGGCTGTCGTTTGCGTTGGTGATATGGGCGGTGAGATAGACGCGGAGATTTGTAGGAATTACACATAGAATGACGAGAGAATGTGACGTGACAGTTGGAAGAGAGGGCATGTGGCGACTGGATTTAGTCAAAAAATGTACGTAAATAAATGTGTGTGTGTGAAATAATCGCAGGTACGGCAGGACCTGAAAATAGAACGGATAGGACAGCGAATCGAATGGAATCTTTCGGTATAAAATTGGAATGAAATGCTCTAGCGCGGAGCGTGCAGGCTTACAACGACGGAAGAGGAGTTTGACAAGCTGTACACGGCGTGTATGTGGGATCTTAAAGCAAGCTAGGTTGTACCCGAGCTGAATGAGAAACGCTTCCCGGAATTCAACGGAGACCGTGAAGGAACGACTGGTTGCGCTGGACATGTGCGAACGGTGCTGGCAGGGGTGGATAACTCATAGGTTAGAAAGTGCGGCGAAATGCTGATGCAGCTGGATGCTTGTCGGGATGCAGGGTGACCGGATAGCAGGGCGGCCAAATGAGCTGTGTAACCAGAGGTCAAGAGCTAAACAAACGAAAATGAGAGCAATTGCACTCAGAACATGGGTAAAATTCTCATTCGGCATTTTGAGGACAAAAACAAATCAGAATACTGTTGTAGAAGGAAGGCTATGACTAGTAGCCTAATACAAAAATTGGTGTTAAACTGAACATGAGCTCATGACCGAACGATGGATTTACATGGTGTTTTAATATCAAGTCAACCCATACAAATTGATGTACCCATATCTTATAGCCGTGTTGGTGGGGTTTGCATCTATATTTGGGGAGACGGTGTTGGCGTTCATTTATACAACGACCAATATTTTACTATTCCTCTGGACAACCGATTGGTTCGGCTCATAGTACCATCTACAACAAGGAATGATTATTTTGCCGTTCTATGGCTTTGTCATGAATACGAATGGGGCGAGATGGCTCAAGTGGCTGGAGCGCAAAATTACTGACCGGAACGTCCGTGGTTCGAACCCAACCTCTACCTCTCGACTTCCCCTGTCTAGGCTTAGGCAACCTGGCATTATCCCAGCTCATGTGCTTTCTTTGGGTGGCATCACAGCTAGACACCGAAAGGACGTTATAGCTGAACGACTATATATATATATATATATATATAATATGAACAGGAGTTAAGCAGAAGGTTAATGTAGTTGCAAGAACGTCCAAGGATACACCAGTGTGAGGGCACTAACACTTACCGTAGAGTAGTGTGCTTGACCCCGCGAAGCACGACCGACAACAAAAATGTTCTGAGGTGCGACTCCTAGAGACCGATATAGATTGACGTCTTTTCCAGAACCATATGCACAGTGGATCTTTAACTGGGCCTATGTCGAAGATTAAAAGAACAGATAAAGGCGGATAAGATGTGTGCTACATACACTGAACACATCCCCAGCACAGCAATTTGTGTTCCAAACGAAATGTTTCCTTGTGAGCGATTTGGGGAGGATAGAGGATGAAACGACAAACTCAAGTATAGGGTGACCACTGTTCAGCTGAGCAAGTGGTCCTTCGTGACTAGAGGTTCTATAGGACAAGGCATTGTTTCCATTGACAAGTGTGCTGTTAGTGCCTGAATAGCTCAGTGGTTGACACTGGACTACAACTTCGACGACCCCAAGTTCAAATCCATGCAACGACATCTCCAAATTAGTCGCCGACAGCCTGTCTTAGAAACTTCGTACAAGGTTGTTTCATCAGTGTTCGGGTAATACATTTCAATGCGGTTCAAAGGTACAGACATCTTTGGATCCCTTGAACGTTTCACCGAGATTCCCATCACATCCTTTCTTATTACGATGACTGATGGTAAAGAGAACGACGAGGATGTTATGCAGGTCATGGATCTGCACTCCCACCTTCGTATCACGGTACCCTAACCACAATAAGTTAACTGTTCACTTACCGTAATGGGATCGACCCATCATCTATTTCCATGAGGTCGCTGAGTTGCTAGCCAAATACGACGGGGCTGCTATGCTGTATCACAGTGGTGAAGCGCACTGATAGGTGTGATAGTCAGAAGGTGATTTGGATGCAGATGATGGTGCACTACTCACAAAATCCAAAAAAGTGCTTTCGTCTCGGAGGTACTACTTATTGCGAGGGGATTCGCAGAAAACTGAGCATTCCAGGAAAGATGCTAAATCCATTAGTACGAAACGAGATTGCATTCTATGATGATTCAGTGTTAGCAAGGTTACCTCCAAATTCTCCTTCAACAGTTACAATATTAGCTCTCTTTGTTTTAGCTGAAAAGCGACAGTTTTGCTCCGACAGAAGGAAACAGGAAGATCCATTTTTTCAATGTTATATCCTAGAGTTTCACCTATCACTGCCATTTCCTTGTGATTGTTTAAGCAAGCATTCCACTTGCACTTTTTGTTGACAAAATTTGGGAGTCATAATTGTTTACTAGGTAGACCCTATTGCGTGGAACAAAATGAAGATTACCTCTATAGTACCTCAGCTTGAAGCTCAGGGGAATAGGATGAGGAACTTGTAAACAAATCCAAAAACGTCCGTCAGCAAATAAGCACCACCTGATAATAATCACTGCTCTACAAACGAAAGATGGTCAGAAGGTTTTTCCTGCTAGATTACTGTACGAAGGGTTGGCATGCGTGAAAACCCAGAGCAATGAGAATACCACATTGTCGGAATCATAGCTTGTTTTGGGTTGAGGGTGAATGTACCAAGAGTTAAGAAACCAAAATCCATAAGTCTCTAGCTTATACTGTAAGGTTTTCGCTCCGAAATTCTGATGTACCCCATGGGACTCCACGGGATTATAGCAGTTGTAGAATCAAATGCGAACACAGTAAATGCGCGAACCAGTTGGAATAAAATCGATGTGCAAGGAACGAAACAGCGAAAAATGAGGAAAAGCCAAATTAGGATGAGAAGAGACGTACGTGGTCACAAACTGTTTTCAATAGCTGAGCTTTCTGCCTCAGTGGGTCGGTTGAAATTCCCTCGACAAAAAGGGAAATCCCCTGAGGAAAATTGTGACTCATCAACCAACTGGTAACACGGCGTTGTTGCATGTCTGGACGCGCGGACAGGTATATGAGAAGGTAACCAAGACTTTGCCAGTGTCGCGCAACGTCAATCGAACCTGGACGTATTTTCGGATCCTGTAAAACCGGATCAAAATGAAGCTACACCAGAAAGCAGGCTGCTATTAAAGCAAGGTACATGATTAGCATATAATTAGAGTTGCGGTGGTATGTCATTCAGAATACACCTGGAAGGTTCAATATAAATGGTAGTTCGCCGCATGTACACTTTCTCGATTTGGCAGCATGGCATTTTTGGAGGACCGGTTGATTTCCCTGAGGTACACAAATTCCATGATGTCCAATACCAGAATATTTATTCAACTACTTGCAACTAAATAGTAGTTAAACACTAATGATCTCTGCAATACCTTTGGAAAACGCATCTAACGAGACCAGCAGCGTTTCACTCTCTTCAAACTAGGTCGACACTCTCGGTTAGCGAATTACGATCTAGTCTACTAACGGATTCTAACACTGCCCCGGATCAATTCAGTGCACGCGCTTAGCGCGTGAGGTAATCCTCAGATGTAAGAACAGAACCAGGTAGGGAAGCGGATCAGTATCGACATCGATCTTCAGGTAAGATACGCACTAAGATAATAGGCAACATCGACACCCTCGGTCAGTATCAAACCGTTACTTTTGCACGTCAAGTGGAATTTCTGATGGGAGAATAAACAAACATTAGGGTATCGACAAATAAAAGAATAGATTGAGGGAAGGAACTACTCGTAGGACTGGCGTAAACTTATCCACAAGTGGGCGCGATCCCCGAACTTCCGTCAACCTTAGGTTCTACTTGAACTCAAATCGCAGGAAATTCGACAAACACACAAATTTGTTTTTACCAGAGCCTCACATGAATCCAAGCTGAATCCAACTGAAACATGAGGCGGCCTTTATGTGGCACAGCCAATTGATGAATAACCTGAACGCGATATGCAACTGGAATTCATGTAAGCCTCCCATGTGTACGCCACGAAGACGTCCCTAAGTTTGACCAGGGCTTCAGAAAATAATATATTAAAGCGATGTCACCTAGCAATCAAAAAAAGGAAGCCAGACAACCGAACCAGTCAGTCAGTCACATTTGAAACTTAAGGACACGGGATTCAGTTACCGATAGATTGGTTTTGTCACCATATATTGAATTCATTGTACCCACGTTTTCAACAGGTGTTTAGCGACGGACCACCAGCATTACTCAGGCGTTTTTAGTGTTTTGACCTTGTGAAATTTAATCACATTAAACTCGCACTGCTATTCATTGCATTTTGCCCAAAAAAGCTTATTAGGCCCCTCAGGTTCCTCCGGAAACTGAAGACAGACAAAAACGTACTTTCCCCATAATTGAAATACTCGCCGCAAAGCTGCCGTCTACGCTGAAAACAACTGCTTCCGTTTTTGGAGGCAGCACAGCTAAAGTCAGGTGTACAGGATGGTCCGGATCCGATTCCGGAGTGAGAAGAATGGGATGTAGACCGATGCCGAAGAGGCGCTGATCGGGCACGCGGAACCGAATTCGACCAGAAGAGTCTGTGACCTCTGTACCGATGGATGTCCAAGATCCGCCGTACGAACGGATTTGAATAGAGATCTGACAACGGATAGGGGCGTAAGAAGTAGTTGTTGTTTCAGGCATGCAACCAAATAGAATAAAGCAGATATAATGATATATATATATATATATATAATGAAAGCCTTATTGTGAAGAAAAGAATAAAGGTGGATGGGGAAGGGACTTAGTGCTGGCTTACTACAATTACTCCGAGGTACCCTCATCTCCAAGCACTCATTCAGGCAATCTGGATAAAAACTGACAAGACGAGTAGCACCAACAGCATCCAAACATATCGTTATCTCCCTCCTATCCCTCTGTCAGGTCAAGGGTTGGCAACCTCTCTACTTCCACCAATCTGAGTTGGGCATGGAAAACAGCACTCTCTTCGGCAAACGATTGTTCGGCATTCACAACACATGCCCCAACCAATGAGTGTGCCCGTTGTACAACTGAAGACTCTATTTATAATTGCCTTTTTACGGATTTGCCGACAAACAAACCACACGAACTATGGTTCTGTGACGATTGTTGAATACCTGAAGACGTCTTAGTTCTGCTGATGAGAAAGGCCAAGTCTGATAACCATACAAACAGCCAAAAGTGTAGCTTGATACACATGTCCCTTGAGATTCAGGAATACACCATTTTGACAAGGTAGGTGTCTCAAGTTAACGAACGTGACCTGGGCTTCGGAGATTCGTGCATTCCACAAAGGAATTCGTCAGCTGATTTGTTCTCTGAGAATACCAGATTTAGTTGTCCGTTCAAGGTGGATGCTCTTATGAGTGGTCAAAACTATCGAGAGCAAGTCTTTTAGGAGATATGCCCAAAGGAGCAGTGAGAAGGCGAATAGTTTCCCCGAACTCATCACTTCAAAAAAGTATAACCAGAGGCAATGGAGCGTACAGGATAGTAAGGTCAGTAAATAGTACTAGAGTTTGAATGCCGCACTGAACAGCCCTCAGGTCATCAGTGCATTTGTCATTTAAGGCAAGCTGGCAATCAGGTGAACAAGCTTGAAGGACAGCAGTCCACAAAGGCGACACTGATCGGTCATCAATATTATACATAGCATGCAAAAGCTGAGGATCGGTCCTATCATGTGTCATGAGAACAGAATACCCATAGCTGCACTGAATTACAGTATAACTCATTTTAACATCTACACGGTGCCATTCGACAGGAATTGGCATGATCACAAGCAACCTTGCTATAAAAGAGGATCGCATGAGGGGCTTACTGTGTAGCAAATCGAATGACGTCAATAAAACCAAAAGTTAACACGGAAGCAAACGTGCATGCTGCTGTCTTTCACCGCTTAGAATTTCGTCCGATTATGCCAAAAATTGATCAGCGATTCTGGACAACAGAAGCAAACAAATGTACCCTAGCATCAACTCCAGAATCACATCATCCCACAGTTAGCGTGCCCTTTGCTGTCACACTATTTGTCCCCCCATCTTCGCCCTTCGTTTGTCGGCTATAGAAACGCTGCAAGGAAATTCGTTCACTACGTAATCTTTAGTGGTTACGAGCGCTTTAAAAGGACATGACAGGCACACACTACTCTTGTAATATACGAATGGTTAAGGGATCGAGTTAACGCTCTCTATGGAAAATGCCTAAGGCAAATATTTTCAGCTGGTTTCTCGAGGCTACATCTTACACGTGGACCAACTTTGCTTATCAGAGTGAAGAGATACTTTGTAGTGCCAAAATCAGGTGAACGAGTTGGGATAAATGTCAAAGAATGAACGGACTCACTTTTTCGTTCGACATTGAGAGCAGATCCAATAGTCCAAACACAAACCGGGCAGTTATTATTTGTGGTTGACCTTCCAAGACGACGACATCATTTGCGCGGTGATTGGATTTTACACTCTCGAAAGAAGAAGAGGTAGAACACAAAGATAAACGTGAATGGAGAAGTCTCACACGGCCTAAAAAGGCTTCTACAGAGTCACAACAACACTTCCCTTTGGAAATATCGGCGACAGGAGACTATCCTCAGCACGGATATAGAGGCGAAGATATAGATAAGAGAGACAAAACGGATGAGTGCGTAGTCAGGTTGAAATTCGGAACTCATATGTGGAAAGAAAGGAAGTACCGAAATACAAGCAGGAGATTGGAAGCAGATGAAGAAAGAAGCTGGAAATTGGCATCTGCCAGTTTGTAACGGGACCGGCCACACCCGACTGATGTTAAGACTAAGGTGAATTTTTAGTATCACAGCTATGGGACTAGAGGCACCAACTTAGTGTGTCAAACGATGTTATCCGATAGAATGTGTGAGACAAAATAAACGAGCACCCCCTATGGAAATTATCAAATATTACCAAATAGAAGTTCGACACGAAGCCGAAGAGTCGATAGACCCAGACTGGATAGAGGATGAACTTATAGTAAGCCGTTACTAAGCTCTGGGAGTGACAAAAAATAAAGAAAAGGCATTCATTCAGTTTTACGAACCTATAGGAATATAGAAAAACGCTGACGGACCAGACCAGATGGCTCGGGCGCTAACGAATGGAAACCAAGGGGGCGAAATTCACCCGCGCTGTAAGGACGAACGGGAAAACTGCCAATTCGGTCAACAGTGGCGAACGGAACTACCCGAACAACTGATGAGTTGGCTAGAAAATAATCGTTCAAATACAGTCACTGAAGGCTGCAAGGAGAAACGGCCGAACCGAATGGAATCGCACGAGCTGAGAAGTTAGACAAGCCCACCAAATAAGTCTTAAATGATACGCACGCACCCTGGTGTGTTGGGTTAGTGAAGTATCACATTGGTCACTATCCGCAGATGACTGTGAAAGAAGGATGAAAAAGGTGAATATAAGATTGGGAATGTAGTAGCAAGCTGATCAGTGAATTCGATGGTTCAAGAAAAAGGCACTATAGACGGTGGGAACATGGCCAAGCTGGAAGAGTGCACACGAAAAAAGCGGTGCTAAAGAGAAAAACGGGAGGACACGATGTGTTCAATAAAAATTCAGGTGGGATGGAGTCCTCGGAAAGATCTGCAAGAGATGACAAAGAGTCCGTTTCCCAATGGAGATTCCTGCATGACCGGAACTCAGAGAGCTTCTTTAAACCAGCTCTCTCCGAGACGTTCCTTAAAATAAACACAGAAATACGTAACAATGCTATAGAAACCGATTCCTGACTTCGCCACGTTAATGTTAGATCGACGTATCATATGTGAATGATACGTGATTTTGTGTTCATGTTGCCTCATCCCTTGTATTAACGTTGGGCCCCGAGCTCTGCGGACCAACCATCGTTCATCAGTAGAAATCGTACGGGACATCTCTTGAAATAAACGACCCCAGAACAACCGTCAGTGACTGTAACCCAAAGCCTGATAGCGAGCATGTTACCTCCTTCCAGACGGACAAAGCACTTAAGATGCGATGAAAGCGGATGCTCCCCTAGGTGAATATATGATACGCGCTCAGGTGTACTATAATCTGCACAACTAAAGGAAGCCCTGGGAAAAGGGCTTTTAAAGGTTAGAATTTTTTCGGGAACAGGAAGGCTATTTCATACGAAACTGTGGTCGACGGGGAAGGATATCGTGACCCTCTGTGAGGGATTTCTAATAAGGAATGAATACCGCAGGGAGATACACCTTGCTTAAATTATATATATATATATATATATATATATGTATATATAATAAAACCAGTACTTCTTCATCAAGGGAGTTCTTGTAGTACGATATGTTTCCTCCTGAAATTACTCCATAGAGAAACGCTTTTTAGAAAACAGCCTGGAGAAGTTTTCTGCTCCCCGAGTTGAGGAGTTTCGCTCCCATGAGGAGATACCACATGGAAGCAATGCCCTCGGTCTTTAGGCGCCAGTTTATCGTCCAGTAAAAATGTCGCTTTCACTCAAAATGCTGCTGTACTGCACGACAGAGAAGAACCTGCGCCTCGAAGGTAACACAGTTAGAAACGGCCATAAGATCAATGGACCAAAAACAAGCTCGATGTGTAGGCAGGTGAACAACAATCAGCAAGTCAATAACAAGCAACAAGGCAATAGCAGCACTCGCCGCATGAGCCATTGACACGAAGCACCCATTCGCCTTCACTCATAACACGCTGATCATATCAGTTCGACAACTGATGAAACGTTCGCAACAAAATTGCTCAGAGAAAAATCGACGACCAACACCATCCTGTGATAATAACAAGGTCTTGCTGACTTGACACGATCAATTCTCGCGCGCAACAGTTGAGAATATATCACACAGTTGCAATGCAGACTGAGATGACGTGAGAAGCTAGGATAACTCAATATACGGTAACTTAAAAGCCAACTAGTCCCTAGAAATAACCTTGCAAAATCAAACTACACTTTTCTCACAGAATCATCTTTTGTCGTCCGGTCAAGTTGACAAAAACTGACGGTAACGGTGCATCACTATCATGTCGCTGAACTTGTGCCTAATTTGTGGCTGTCGTTCCAGAGTAGAAATATCCAAACTTACAGGATCTTCAGTCTTCAACTCAAGCTCCGCACCCTCGACTGTGGTTAGCAGCTTCGTCTGTCTTGTTTTCACATTTCTGCTGTAACCTAAAGCAGTCCGTCCGCAGATAATGTAAGCTTACCAGAACTGTCTTAGCTCAGAGGTACTGGCCGACTAAACTTGCGACGGTGCCACAAGTGACTTACTGTGACCATCGTCATCAGATCGAAATTCCGAAGCGCTGGGGAAATAACGGTGCCAAGAGTGACTGCTGTTGTACAGATCAAAGTGATAATTAGCTTAGTCTAATCTAAACCCGATCTACAAAAAATGAAGGAGGTTTCTAGCTCTGCTCAGCGATATGGTTATTCTCTCAAAGTGAAAAACCAATTACGAACTCCAGGTTTCCAAATTAAGCTGAAAATTCTGGCTGAAAATTTTGGCTGCGCCAAAAACGCCGAGATTAAAAAACACATGTGCAACATAAGTATCTACAACAGAAATCTTTCAAAATATAAGCATGAAAGTTTGGTTAGTTATAAACAGGATGCGATGTATACTTGAAAACAGGAGGTTGCTCGCACTTTGAAAGTAATTTGGGCAATCTCCCACGCGCACAGTTAGGTACCGCACGTGATTGAGCGGCGTAGATTGGAATGTCCAGTAACTACAAACCCTCAGAAATAAAAGCGACGAAGTGCGAAAATTTCGGCAAGTCACGTGCGACAAACTGGACGTTGAAGAAAGTTACATTTACCACAGGAGGGGATAATCCAGACTTTCTCTTTGATCTTATCTTTGAAAGTCAGTCTGATACCGGATGGAATCGAATCGTGTAGCTGTAACACCCGGTCGGTACATAGATGTCATGTCACCCAAAGGCGGTACGACGGCTAGGATACTGCCAGGTTGCCAAAACCTAGCCAAGAACAGTTGAGATGCCATGGTTGGGTTCGAACCACGGACTTTTCTGCCAATAAGTTCGAGCCTTAATTACTGATCAATCTCGAGTTGTGCTACTGCACCTACGATTGTGACTTCAAGCAGGGTTAATGAAATCGTTACGGAGAACAAATAATGGATCACTCGACGTCAAAAGCAAAAATCTATAAGTGCACATTTAATCGACAGGTTACTGGCTATTCACAACTTGACAATACCCCAATGAGACACATGCAGCCAGAATACGTACAGCCAAACGTCCTTTTGAACCCCTCATTCTGGACAACCCCCAAACAACGACGTGACCATAACCCAACTGAGTATTGACGCAGCTGACCTTGATGATATTAGGTTGCTGTGTTCCTTGTACGTACCGTGAATTATAATTACAAATGCGGAATATAGCCAAGATCAATGAAGAATTTGGTGTGATAACCACTGTGTCACTTAAAAAGAAGGGTAAAAACCTGATATTGAGACGGAATGAAAACGATTTTTGGCCTACTACTAAAATCCGATGAATGTGGATGTTGAGAATTCATCGACTGATCATGTGAATGGAACCACTCCTGACCGTTTCGCCAGCCTCACCTGCTGCACACAGCATAGCGGATAAGCGGAAAGAGACTACTGTTGGCGCCCACGTTCCCGCTCTTTCGCACTCACTGTTTTTCCCCGCAGCTAGCAACATTTTCGAGGGTCGACTTTTAGGAGCTGACCATTCAGTACATCGGGCACTGCCGTCAGCTGGAATGCCTACGTCTAACTCGGCCGCCAAGACCGTACACATTTCGAAATCATTAGTCGTACCCGGATGACAACTCTATAGGAAAGTCATCAAAGATCACTCTGAAACAAGCTGGACAACAGGATGCCGTTACTTGTGCGTTGAGTTTGCCCTCTATTGATGTGTGCTATATCTCTCAAGTGAGCATTCAACACTCACGTAAGTTCGTTGAACTGAACTCCGCACCGGTTTCTTCTCGCTTCCGGTTTTGGATCTCTGACGAACTAGGTACTACCGCGGCTTGTTCTGCTAATGTTTGTAATGTTTTAAGCTATCAAGCTGAAGAATTTCCGCTTGAATGATTGACTGTTGACGGTCGCTTCTGCGCGACTAGTTCAGCAAACCTCTACGCGAAAATCTCACAAACGCGCCGATAATCGCTTCATTGTATCCGTTTACGCCCAACAAATGACAGTACAAAAACACCTCATGCGTTCAAATTGCGGCGGGCTAAGAGATCAGGTATTGATATACTAACATATTAATAGTGTTAATGTGAACGTAGGTAGGCTTAGCATCATTGAGGCTCCAGGCTCTGCACGATACCAACCTCCGAAAATACTGAAGTCGCTCGAGAACAGGTTCCCTCCCTCGCATGCGGGCCAATTTTCAACGCAGATAGACCAAATCGCTACCAGCTACTGACGTGGACCAATCACTGAGTGTTGCCCTTTCTTGAACACCTAAATCTACAGATCTCACTGAATGATAGCCTTATCGACCGAGGATATACAGACGATATTGTCATTTTTGGGAAAGTGGAGGGAGTGCAGGCGTAAAGTTAAACTTGACCAAAGTCTTCCAGTCATTCGCCACGTGCTCCACACCCACAAAGCCATGCTGTGGGACGTAGTCTTTGGACATGCGTCTAACAATTCAAGGAGACACTGAAAGTGGGAGACCATACGCATTAAGGAAGTTGCATTAGCTCTGAGGTTGGCGTGGTATACGAAGTCAACACGTGAATCTCACATAGCAGAATTCCGTCTTCCAGTGTGTGCCGACCGTGGCTTCAGAAGGGTAGATCGCTGGGTGTGAACTTACGTGTATATCAGAATACATTGCTGTACGGCTGCGAGGCTTAACGACTGCAGTTAAAGCGTGTGTGGTGTCTTCAGGTCTTTCATCACCGGCTTCTCAGAACCGTAGCTGGAACCAGCGAATTCACAAGAAAGTGATCAGAAAACGGTTCGTTATAAAGTAGAAGATATGTCACTAAAGGAACGCTTCTACGATTGCAGACCATGTGTTACGTATATCAAGTTACCGTCTGCCTAGAAGAAGTTAGTTTTACGTGCCCAAGTTTGAATGACGGAGACCTAAAGGCGAATAGAATAAGTCAAGGCAGAACGTAATGAAGGTTACGAAAAGCCTGAGTACTGGCGGTGCTGATAGCTTTCCACAATGAGATTCACGCGCCTGTTTGTGCTAGACTGGAGGCAATGAGAGAGGCGATGAATAACCGGCGTCGGTGGCGTTCACACTTAATTTCTATGCATATTGTCTAACTGAGAGTTGGAAGTGCAGGCGCCTCGGGCGTCTGTCAAAGGCCAACCTCAAGTCCATTCGCTGTCTTACTTTTTGTGCTTTGCGTTATAAAGCTTTGATAAGTAAATAGACATGGTTGTATAGCAGTGAAGTACCCGTTCTTCGTTGTTTCTTAGTGATAACCACGATGATGGCATGATGACGGTTTTGATGGAACGTTCCTGTCTACTGCAACGTGGAAGAATCAATGGTGCAGACCAAGATAATCAGCGTCAAAATATCGCCGCAAAGAGGAGAGATAACACATGCGAATAGGTCACGAAAACGCTTTCTATGGGGCATTAGTGGGGCCCGCTGAACTATCAGAGCGCTGACACACACAGAGGGCAAAAAGCAAATGCCAGTAAAAGCAACAGCAGCAGGATACAAGAGCGGGATAAAAGTAAGCTAACCCACACGGGACAGTGGTTAATCGCGTTCCCAACTACCCAGATAGGTCGATAAAAACACGCACTGACAAGGATGATAAAGAAGATATCGTACGAGGCAGTGTCATGAGTATGTGTGACGCAGTCATCGGCTGATGACAGCAATGTATGTTGAAAAAGACAGCTTAGGCGACTATATAGTTCGAATGGGGCAACTGGGTGCTGATCCTGTGAATAGAGCATATGCACATTTTTTGCGGGGAGGTTACGCACCAAAGTCACTGGCGTTGTGCATAATACAGTACTTGTGTTCGTTTAGAGCACAGAACTGCTGTCTTAGGATTCAGCACAGCAAAAGTTCAGACACAGGTGGGTCGAAAACCTGAAACTTCATCACACGTACAAACAAGTTCTGATAGGTTTGCAGCAGTAATTTTCTAACAGGTGTTACAAGGTGGTAAGTAGCATAATACTAAGTTGTCGTTCGAATAAGAAACCTTGCCACTGTAAGTGGAATCTTTGAAGTCACTGGTACCGTCGTCTGTGAGAAATCAAGTTACTCCAAGGTGCTTGCATACCATTAGAGCCACCCGAATAAACGCAATTCGTCCGAATGTTTTGCGTGTTCGACAGTGAACAATGGTCTTCTCATCGTTTCGCGCAGAGGGGTACTCGAAAACTACAAACTGGCCTATCGACTGCAAGAAACCAGCTAGTGACTAGTCCAGTGACAGAGATTCAAAGACCCACATCCGCGAGCGAACACAATCTGTATCACAACCAAGTACACAGTAAAGTTCCAGAACCATGTAACTTTGCTTTTCACGACAATACTTGACACTCGTAATACGGTGTTTAGTTCGTTGATCTCCGCGCATAGTGAACTTAACAAGAAATGTTGACATAGCCATTCTATGATTCCAGTGAATTACTCCTGCGGAATGTAGCTGTCAATCCGAGTTTATGAATAAGATCTGAAGGTCGTTTTTTACATGACAGAAAAGCGGCAATCATGCAGACTGTTTACGGAGAATCCCCAAAGTGTAATAGGCCCATAGAAAATAAGTATGCAGGAGAGGAGGGTACCCTAATATGTCAAGGAAAACTGGAAACCCATGACAATTAACACTGTCTCGAGTGTTCAAGTACGCCAAGAACCCAGGCAAACAACAAAACGATGACAACATATAAAAAGACACGAAATGAGCAACACAGAGCTTTGATTAGTGAGGCTCACCAGATTGGCTGGGATGCAAGTATGCTACAGAAAGAAAAACGAGTGATGAGAGAGAATTATACATGCCAAAAAAGCAATGAACGCAACAAAAAGTCAGCCTGGAGTCTGCAAGAACAGTGACAAGAGAAGAGACTTGGTAAATCGCTATCAGCCGGGAACGTTGAGGTTTACCAGACGATTGGTATTGGTGCTCTTCTCGTAAGTTAGCAAACAAGTAACGTGCTGTGAAAATTGACGGAGAATGTCTCACAACCCCTTCTCAAAACATATCAGGATCGGCACGGGATCCATAGACTCAACTGGAGCACACCAAGAAAGTTTGTGTGCGAGGTATGCGTAACCGGATCAATAAATTTGTAAAATTCGTCAGTGGATTTTGCCGAAAGAAACACAAAATTAGCGATACCGTCAAATTCAGCCGACTCAAGAGCATTTATGTGACATGATAAAAGGATTGCGTTAACTACAACATCAGCCACGATACCACAACCGATGATGACGAAAAACGCGTCAGGCGATTAGCGTAAATCGAATAGACATCCAGAGAAACTGAGCAACTAAACCTGGAGCCCGAATCTAATACTCATCGAGCTATTGTGTTTGCTTTCTGAAGCCAGCCGACCGGATTAACAACAATTCACATGGGTTAGGTAACCGTACAGCGAATCGGAGACGATGTTTAGTGAGCACGCGTAAATTGGCCAGAAGACTCACGAATAACGACGGAGGGTTAGAGCTGGACACTCGATTAGGACAGAACAGCCGGACATTCCGGGAATCACGATATAAACGCAGATGTGTCATTCTGATGTCATTGGAATCTACCATAAACACTGAGAAATACCAGTTGGTGATAGTTCAGGTCAAGAAACGGTCATGTTGACGGCAAATCTAAAACACTATCGGAATGACAGTGAACTCATTTCCATGTTTTGCGCAACACTGGTGTGTGTGCGTGTGCATTGCTTCCAGGATTTATACTAACAAGCCACATGAAGACCATTCATCCGAAACTACTAAGGTCGCCAGCCAAGAGAACTTGAAACACATCAAGATGAGAAAGGACACCAGACAACGTTGCATACCAGTAGAGTTGACGTCAACCAGTCAGAGCATGAAACACCAAAGCATTGTGCGCAAAAAATTAACAGTCGTCCTTGGTGTGTTTGGAGTTACCCGAGTAATCGTTGATATATGGCGATACAATAGACTAAAGCTGCATACCGACAGTAGAGGGTTTTAAAAGTGATGGTACAACCGCGCTTCATCTTAGCTTCATAGAGGGGAGTTACCATGAGGTACAGGTAATTATCTGAATTTCATAACGAATGAACCTGTTCGTAGAACTATGGTTCCAAAAGCGAAACTCCAAACACTTTGTTTCCAAAATGGTGCCAATGCAACTTTCACGAGCCATGAAAGTAGCATTAAACCATAGTTACCTTGGCAGTAACCGGAGAAAAAAAAACGGGTCCGAAGATGATGCTTACCTTTGTCGCTTCTGACCCTCTCAACCGTTTCACTTTGGAACGAGGTCCAATGGTATCTGTGTCGCCTGACCTCGTACCGAAGTGATGGTTCCACCAACTGCTCATCACCGAAACATCTGTCTCGGCTGCGGATTGGTGCCTGCTTAGCTGTACTTGGGCAGATGACAGGTGAGCAGCTACATTGGTCAGCGGAATCTCATCTTCCAATTCCAAAGAGTAGGATGTCTCAGGGAGACACAAACCAAGTGTTCCGAGAACCTATTGTGTGGTTGCATAAACAACGAAAGGAGATGGTGGATTAGAAAGGGGGCACCACAAGTGGAAAATGCATCTATATTAATCATTGCATGAAAATTCTGACATATATTGCACCCTCCAAAGGGGTAATCAAAATTTCATCAACTAAACAGAAGATTTATGAGACTGCTATTATGCATGTCCCCACCATAGACGAAACACAGTATCGATGAGGTGTTTTGTTCTCCAAAATTGTCCTTCCACAGATACCATTGTACGGCCACGCTGCATCGAAACACTTCCTCTCAAAAAGGGAATTATCTTTGAGAGAAGTTATCAGGAGGGACATACTTCTCATGGGAACTGACTGACATTGATAGATACAGGCAGACGAGTTGGAAAACAGACTCACTTGTCGTAACACGAATGAGACAACATCTTTGGACTCCCAGTAGCTGGCGTGAAAAATCGGTGGTCGTGCTCGAGCCAGGAGACTTTGAACGGCCTGGGGACAGTGCAGACTGTAATCCACTCTTTGCTGACCCCACCACTGTTGACGAACTAAAAAGAAGATGCAGAGTGATAATCGAGAATGTCCCAGCCGTAAGAGGGATAGTTTCACGGTGCAGGGAGTAAAACCAACCTTCTTTCAACGCTTCAAATGCAATCATTGTTGCCTTTTCCCAACTACGTTCCGTCCGATTGGCGATGGTGCTTGTAACGTTACCGTCCGCGTCGGAATCGATGGGAGTAAACAACCTTGACTGTCGAACTAACGTTTCAACAAGGCTGATCGGTTGACTATCGCCCAGCGGGTAGTGCGCGTACTGAGGTGTTTGTACTGGAGCAATCTGTTCAAAACGAGGATGCAAAAGTGGTTCCACACGGAAGCCGCAGGGATCAGTAGGATAGAAAAAATTGTAGACTTGGTCGGCAGCTACCAGATAATCTGGAACGGAGGAGCAAAAAATCGCCGATTAAGGTTGCAGCACGTTGAGAGGGTGCTCTTATAGCCATAGCAGTTCAAGAAACACTGAGGCCTGAAACACCGAACAATTAGAGTCGATCAAGAAGTTTAGCCATTGAGCAATCGATACTGAAACGAAATGCGATAGAGTGACTCCATTCCAGTAAGTCACAGCTGAAAACGAAATGGTTAGTGGAGAAAACGGTTTGTTCAATTGGTTACTGATCTAAGAGGTAAACGCTACCTATAGTGTGTACAAAACCCTCAGATAAATTAACGACGAAGCATGAGGAAAAGAAAGCTGATATGGTTAGAACTAAGACAAGATTCAGTCTGTGGTAATCAGGCCGCAAAACTCGGAAGCGATCATGTGGTCAGCAATCTCCTGCAGCTCATAAAATCCAATGGTCAGCCAGCCAATCAAACCATTAGCCAGGAGGTCGCGGGTTTAAAACTCCCTGGAGTTTCAAGAGATGCCCACTGCTGATGACTCTCACCAAGGATGGAACAGTTGCACAGTGTTTGTAGGCTTTACACATAGAACATCTTTGGACTCCCAGTAGCTGGCGTGAAAAATCGGTGGTCGTGCTCGAGCCAGGAGACTTTGAACGGCCTGGGGACAGTGCAGACTGTAATCCACTCTTTGCTGACCCCACCACTGTTGACGAACTAAAAAGAAGATGCAGAGTGATAATCGAGAATGTCCCAGCCGTAAGAGGGATAGTTTCACGGTGCAGGGAGTAAAACCAACCTTCTTTCAACGCTTCAAATGCAATCATTGTTGCCTTTTCCCAACTACGTTCCGTCCGATTGGCGATGGTGCTTGTAACGTTACCGTCCGCGTCGGAATCGATGGGAGTAAACAACCTTGACTGTCGAACTAACGTTTCAACAAGGCTGATCGGTTGACTATCGCCCAGCGGGTAGTGCGCGTACTGAGGTGTTTGTACTGGAGCAATCTGTTCAAAACGAGGATGCAAAAGTGGTTCCACACGGAAGCCGCAGGGATCAGTAGGATAGAAAAAATTGTAGACTTGGTCGGCAGCTACCAGATAATCTGGAACGGAGGAGCAAAAAATCGCCGATTAAGGTTGCAGCACGTTGAGAGGGTGCTCTTATAGCCATAGCAGTTCAAGAAACACTGAGGCCTGAAACACCGAACAATTAGAGTCGATCAAGAAGTTTAGCCATTGAGCAATCGATACTGAAACGAAATGCGATAGAGTGACTCCATTCCAGTAAGTCACAGCTGAAAACGAAATGGTTAGTGGAGAAAACGGTTTGTTCAATTGGTTACTGATCTAAGAGGTAAACGCTACCTATAGTGTGTACAAAACCCTCAGATAAATTAACGACGAAGCATGAGGAAAAGAAAGCTGATATGGTTAGAACTAAGACAAGATTCAGTCTGTGGTAATCAGGACGCAAAACTCGGAAGCGATCATGTGGTCAGCAATCTCCTGCAGCTCATAAAATCCAATGGTCAGCCAGCCAATCAAACCATTAGCCAGGAGGTCGCGGGTTTAAAACTCCCTGGAGTTTCAAGAGATGCCCACTGCTGATGACTCTCACCAAGGATGGAACAGTTGCACAGTGTTTGTAGGCTTTACACATAGAATGATTTCACTTACAGGACGAAATATCAATTGAAAATCACCAAGATTTATTCACACTATCATTAATGGGAATCAGCTTGAAAGTGTTCAGGAGACATGTCGCTTACGCTGGGTTTACTACTACTGTCTCTTCTTCCTGCCCGTCAACAGAGAAAGCAAATTCAGTGTCGATATTGATACTTTACTGGCGTTCAAACATGAGGTTTGGTTAAATATACTTAAAACCCTAAAGTGAGAAAGCCGAGAGAGAAGGAAAGGCAAGTACTGCTGATTACTACGAGTACCTACACTTCCAAATGCTCATCCAGATAATCTGAAAAGAAACTGACAGCACGAACTGACTGATTAGCTGCTATTTCTTGCAATGTCTCCAACCAGGCGCAGGAGAAGGTTACGAGGATCTTATTCTGGAAGGCGACCCGCTGTAATAAGCGCAATTTGTCTAGTTTTGATTATCTTGGGATAGCTCGAGCGTCAGTGAGCAGCTAACTAATCAGCCTTCTTTCACAATGGATGCTATTCCCTAAATCTACACATGGTGATTTGCGTTTCGCGGATAACGGTGGCGCGAAAAGAAGCCGGTTAGCAATAAGTCAAGAGCAGTTGGATACTCATGTTTTATCCCTTGATATTCACGTGACTATCACCGAATCTCAAGGAGTTAGTTGATACAAGACCATGTGACGTGGGCTGCATGATGAAAGAATGAGTCGCACTGCACACAATTCAATCACACGACTGATCAGCTAACGGAAGCCGGATGATAGAGTGTACAACTCACTATTTCAGCAAGTTCATTGAAACTTCAAGACATTACGTTTATTGGCAGGATGAAACTGCAACCTGAAACTTCAAAAACCCCATAATAACCACGGAATATCTTTCCAGTTTGTTAAAACCACACTCATTCACGAGGGATTTCTATGTTCCGACTTTTCCTCTACTTGTTATTATGGTGAAATAGCTTTTAAAGGCGTTTGAGGGAAACAAACGTCTTCACGTTTGACTTTGCAAGCGAAGCAGACGGACCAGACTTGACGAGATTGTCGCAACATAGTGGAAAAAAACGCAACACCCTCGAAAACCACGCTACGAGTTGGAAGAGCGTTACATGAAATCAAAAGACAAATGTGCTGTCCTGTGTGTGTATATATGAACAACACTAAAAGCGAATATTCGTGAGAAAAAAACAAAAACACACGCGAGGTAGTCTTTTGCCATGTGAAAAGTAGAGAGATTAAGCCGACATGTGACTAGTATGGTGTGGTCTTTGTTTACTTCGTGCCTACAAACATTCCATTTTGATCGTGTTAATCGTCTTCAGTGATGTGCCAGGTTGTGAGGGAGAGACTCGTGCTGTTGTTGAGTTAGATGAGCATAGAAGAAGCGGGGCGATAAGAAAAGCAAAATAAGAAAAGTGGGAGCTGGTAGATGAGGTTCTAGGAGGTAGGGCTGGAAGCGGATCTCGCTCGAGTAGGTCAACTAGCTACCAACTGATCCGGGTTCAACACTGACTGCAATACATTGTCATATCAGAAATTCTCCACTCATTGATTAGGAATGTTGTCTGGCTCCCAGTCGAGTTCAATGAGTGGTGCAATGAAGGCTTTTCATACCCTGTGACCGTGTCATTAGCCTTCGTTTCCACTTTGACTGGGGTTTCGCTCTATGCAGTAGCTTTTCTCTAAAAAAAAATCGAGGAATATGACTTGGCCAGTGAAGAGTGGACATTTTCAGTAAGCATTTGTAACTAGACTTGCATTTAGTTCATTGCCAAATATGCGTTCGGAGAGCATATCGCTGTTGACAGAGAGGTTAGCTCGATGGACGCCGGAAGATAGCATGGTCGAAAGCCAAAAGCTTATATGCACGCTTTGTATGAAGAAGCCAGATTGCTGAGCCGTACTGACCGCAAACAAGTACCTGACATCTTTTAGACACCACAGTTATAGGAAGTGCAGCAAAAAGCAGAGCCCATCTTGCTTGATGACGCACTACCTCATCCGCAACATGAACACAGGAGGATAGAACTGTTTCCCTGTGGGAATTGTCGAAAGTTTCGAACAGACCATCTGCTATTTGGAGAGCCTGACTCGGTCCGACTCAGTTTCACGGCAGGGCCTTACAATCTAAGGGCGCAGAGCACATTTTATGGACGCCTGGCTTACTTTTCAAACTATTGAACAACGTCTGTTTCAACGCCATAACATGTGGTAGTGCAGATTCAGTTGATCTCGGACTTATTTTAGGTGCACATCCACACCAGGGATTTAAATCCGGTTATTCAGTGCAAGGGCTTGTAACATTGGTCCACCAGCATATTCCGAATAATCATGTCCGGAAAAAAAACAAGCAGTTTCGCACCACACTGAGATGTGCAGTTTGCCAGACACTTCAAAGGATAAGGCGCTAAGCATTCTGGTTGGGTAGATCGATAATGTATCGTACATATGTACCTGAGAAACAGGTACAAAAAGGACTGATCTGGACTGAAAAACCACACAGATAATCTCTGCTTATTCATTGGCAATGGAGTATGCAACCTAGGGAGACATTCAAATGAAGCGGTTTTCGGGGCATTTGCGTCACTTGAGCCACATTGCATTGTTACACGAGGGGAAGCTCTCGCGTTCCGGTTGCGATCAGACTTAGATACAGGATTTTGTATACTCTACAACAGAAATTGCTCGGGAATGTGGAATTCACAAGATAGAACAGTATAAAGTTCGTGATTGGTCTGAGGTGCACCGCGAATTTCAGACAGCACAATGAGATCAGTGATCACCAAACAAAAGTAAGACAGATCTGGATCAGGTTACGACGAGAAAGGTAAACGACACACTGAACCAAGCATTTTAGGCTCCAGCGTTTCGTACCCTATCCATCGTCACACCAGTTTTATACTGCTAACGTAGGATAAAATATGATTTTTCAGCTGCCATCGGTGCTTACCCTCTTGTCTTCTCTTACAACACAAGCTGCATCAGCTGTACGACCAGGCGCTGTCCTACATGGTGGAACAACCGCATCCATCAGTCCATCAGCAGTACCGTATTTGCGCGGCTGGTTAGCAGAGATCACTCTGTCAAAACACGGGCTGTATTCGGGCTTATCTACTAAATGAAGGTACGGAACTCAAAGGCACTCAAGAGTTAGCTTTTGGCTGTCGCTGCGGCCATCAGCCTTTCTAATATTCGACCCACCCATTGGTGCCCAGAAGCGAGACCTCTGTGCACTGCAATTATCCTAGCCAACCTGTGACTTCATACTGGCGCTACCTGTGCACCAGTAATGCAATAATTACTTTCCAAGCTATGAGATAACAAACTTATTTTTCTGCATTTGATCTTTCCCTGTTCTTTCCTTTTTCAACCATACTACTAAAGCGACTGTATCCATCAAGAGGGATATCGCCGGAACCAAGATTGTTCCATTCATAATGTTCTTGTGGTGATACTTCTCCACACCCTCGTTTTATCTTTTATCGACAAGGGACCATGAGCTCTTCTATGAGTTTTCGCCTGGCGTCGCACGTATAAACGACAGTAAGTATACGATTACAATATGGAGGACATTCCTAAATTCCAGGGAGAAAAATTAGAAAAAAAACTGATTAGATAGACCGAGAGGTTTCGAGCCTTTTAAATTGAAGATCCGATCAACAAGAGTAAAATATTACGGAGATATTCATATAGAGAGCTGCCTTCTATCTTGGTAGATTCTCTTGAGTGACTGGCTTCGGCTGTTTTGTTTAGTGTTCACTGCGGAGTGCTCTTGTGTACCGGCAAGCTAAATTCGATTTGCAATTTGCATGCACTAACCCACACACGCGTTCATCACTATATCCCCCCAGAAGCACAGTGGCTTATCAATTTTACCTCCATAAATCGTGATGGAACCATATCGAAGCGAAGCGACTGAAAGCACACGAATTAGGCAAACGACAGAAGTTCAAATAGATCAAAAGAACGACGTAAACTGGTTGTGTCGGATGAAGTTTACTACAGACACGACTGACTTCACAACACAGTAAGCATTTTTCACCATGTACGGCTCGGTATGCCAATATTTCCCATTACTTCATCACACTATCGTTCCGAGCAGAGCAGAGGCACTATAGAAAGTTTGGACCATTTTAGTTGGTGTCAGCGATTGAATGATTAGTCTGCGGAGATCATCAGTTAAGGGATACCAGATCTCACAGGCGCGCTGGAGTTTTGTTTAGACGCTAATTTCAGAACGTTTTCATACATCCATGTGAGACTGAATGAAGGTCTTCGTAGCGTCATCCATTCGAACGTCTAATTCCTGCCTTGCTTAGCTATTTGAGTGGATGAAAGGGATAAACATGGTTTGTGGGATCTTCGGTGATAATGAGCCAGTTACACTGGCACCTCTGTTCCAAATGAAATGAATGTCCTCGAGTAGGGAGTATGGTAGTGGTTTTTCAGCTTCTCGACTTGAGAAACCCGCAGCAACTCAGCATACGCGACTCAATTCAATAAGCCAGTGAGACATCTTTTCCTGATGGATTTCATCCAAGTTACAAATAGCGATTCAAAATAGTTTTAATGAGTTGCGCCAATCCATGACCTTACTCAGGGCTGCGATGTGCTGTCGAGGGTACCTCCCTTTTGACAAAAACCTCGTGGGATCACAACAAACTTCAACTTCACAACAATCAATTATCGCCCACAAGTTTTTGTGTTTCGGGGAGCTATGTTCACCATCACAAGTCGCGTAAGCCGAGTGTCTACCACTGAGTTCAGTCCGCACACAAAGACGTTCTTCTGGTGTCATCTAGGCAGTGTGACCATAGCAGATGTTGAGGCGACCCTAAAATATAATTTGTTCGTTTGCCTACACAAGTTATACACACAACTGACGTTTAGAGGTATGGAAAAATCAACGATGTGAACCAACCTGAGAGGAAGTTTGCTATCGCAATTACAACAGGTTGAATGCTCAGTTTAGTTCATGTGTTGAGATGTGTCACAGAATTTAACTGTTCAGGGCTAGCCATCTCCTGCCTTATGAGCAGGAGATGAGCAGAATTATTCATTTGAAGGCTGTATCCGATACAGCATATACCACAGATGTCAAATTATCACCTACTGGAAGTAGTGTTATTTTCCATGCCGCAAAATCAGGAGTGGGTAAAATGTAACGACGTAAAAGAAAGCGAGAAGTTTGGGAGCTATCAATGCTTTCCACCTTCCAGGATGGGATCCACATGATCCTCTCTATGCTCTGTGGTATATACTGGGGAACATGGCAACTAATCGAAGTCAGTGGCGCTCATGAGTTCAGTTCCTGTCCGGAGTGTTTGATTGAGTGTTGGAGGCATTCGTGGTAGGGTCTGAATTATTCCCCTTCGCCTTATTATCGTGCTTTATTTAAGTGGATTGTGCCTCATTGAACCCTAAGCCTTATTTTCTTGTGATTCTGGAAATGACGATGGAGAGAGATGAATGGGAATGAGAGGATTCTTCAGGGAAGCTGAAGAGTTGGGTTAACCCTATAGGTTTTGTTTCTCTGAAGGGCGCATAGCGGTGCGGCGTTCAAGCAAACCGCAGGCAACAAAACCATCCGATGGCACATACAAAAGCACAAAAGTTTCAAAGGAATTCGGTGCTACTAAGACATGGAATGTAACCAGACAACTCAACAACAACGAGCTGATCGCGTTCACTCGGTAGTTACCTTTGACGATGGACCGGCTACCAGGTGGTGTTGCATGGCCATCTCACACTAGAAGTGTGCGCGTCAATCGTAAACAGTGACTACGACAGTCCTAGCTGGCCACGCCGACAGACGACCAAATGGCAAATCAGTAAGGGACGTATGTGTTTGTACACTGCAACAATCAGACAAGTCACAATGTCTAACCTAAAGAACAACAGTAGCAAGTCAATAGATAGTGCAGAAGATTAAGCATGTTAGCTGAAGCAAAGCACAGGGGACATTGAATAAGCACAGACAAAACACAGAGAACCCAATGTTGGATGCTAGAGGTCGTCAAATTCATTGAAAAGTAAGGAATGCGGGTATCTGAGACTAGACAGACAGGTACACAGCACCGACATACTTAGAGGCACACACACGTTGTTGTGGCGCACAGCTAACGATGGAAATTCGCGCTGCACTACACAAGCTCAGCGGGCTTGCTCACCAGGGGATGGATGGTGACAGAAGACCCCTGTAAGGATAAACAGAATAACGACTGTCCATCTAACGGTAGACTACCATGTAAATGTGGTTCGCAACATGAGTGACATGCGATAATTACTACCTGTTTGGCACTAACCATTAGCTTAGTGTGCATGCAGGCGCAAGCGACATGCCACATATATATTATCCTGCTTTCTGATGATGTACCTAAAGGGTTTGTCGTCTTTGTCACAGCTTACTATTCTCGTTGGTGAAATCTGGAGCATGAGTTTAAAGAAAGCAGACCACTGATTTTGATGAAATTTCCGGCATTAAGTAGTTCAAATTTAAACCGCGTACCACGAATATTCTGGTTCCAGCTGTGTTGGATTACTGAAGTAGAATGAGAAATAAGGAATAGTCATGCTTTGGAGTCCATGCCCATCAACCGGTGATATGGGAAACTGAATAACTACGCAACGGGTACAAATTTGATGCAAGAATACCCGTGACAGTGTGATTCTGCCGTGTCCATCAAGGCCACAAAATATCACTAGTCATCATCCAGTGAATCTGCAACCGTTAGGCCGTATGAATTTACTAATCAGGATATTTTCATCTCACACCACAGACGCTCCCGCATAAAGGGCCCTGTTGCTGTTGAATGCGGATAGAGGTGTGTTTTGGACCTGGACCGTGGCAGACGGCAAACGAAGCAGACTTACCTGAATGTGCGTCCTCTATCATAGTTCTAGTTCCATCCTTTAGTGACTGTTGCCGGAAGGCCAGTAGAAGACCCACCGGGGATCCGAGCATGACGAAAGTTTGAACCTACAGAATGGAACGGATGAGAGTGAATACTAAGCAGGGTAAAAATTTGAAACGGGCTATTCTAAGCAGCATACATTTTTGGAGGAGTAAATTACTAGTGTTTATTGTGTGTCGTCGATTTGTTTTCAAACAGGCTTGAATAGATAACTGATACCTGCGCTTGCGGTGCATTCTGAGCACTGCACACTGAACAGTGTCATTGATTCTTGCGGTTGAGAAATTCCAGTCCGCCCAAAACCGAAAAATGGTGTGAAGGCTAGCACACAATGCGTTATCACGCGTGAGTTCAGTGATACCAGCTGGATTTTTTTGACTGAGCTCAAGACAGGCACCCGCTGTTGAACGTAAGGTGTGATTCGAATTTGTCCTGTACAGGTTTAAATGATATTTTGACAGGATTTCACTTCTCATGTTTCCTCCATGTTGCGTGCATCAAAATGTATCACAGCTTGCAGAAATGATTTCCCATTTTCCTGTAGATGTTTATACAGACGATTTTAGACAGCTGCAATCAGTTCAGTGATGTATGACCGGCCTGGCTTTAGAGCATTTTGCACATGCATGTGTCAGTTGCATATTACAGGAGAGATATGCAAAGATCAAAAGAACATATACGGTATTCAGAAGGCATAAGGGGAATCACATGGAAGACACATCCACTGCAAGACGAAAGCAATGATGCAGGTTTTCAATATGCATGTTTGATAGGATACCAAATATATTGCAAACTCTACCAGAGCGACGCTGGGATTGAAAGCCACCAAACCAGGTAATAGGAAGTACAGAGATTACCCGAAAGGTAATGGAGAGATTGACAGACAAGGGATCAATATTAGCCGTGATCGTGAGCAGAGGCGCATCTTGATGAAAGGGTTGTGGGAGGAAGGGGGAGAACTCGTTACATAGCATCAATCCGAGTGTAATCATTCCCGAAAAGCAATCCACTAATTGTGTTGTATAGATTAGGACTCAAAAGCAAGATCGATCACATGACACCGGGAAAGAGAGGTAGAACGGTGCATGAGTGAAAATGGTTTATTTCTTTAGCTTTAGGTGGTGGCCCCCAACTTCACAAGACCCGATGGGATTGATAGACATCAAGTCAATGATATTGTGGCGGGACTCCAACAGACATCACACAAGTACAAAAGAAACCTATTTCTCTCAGGCAGTATTGTTTAAGGATGATATCTTAGCGTGCGAAATGAGGAAAACCATTGAACAGTTAAGAAGACTCCGGACAATGCCACTCATCGCCAGGGACAGACAGGATGATTAAAAATGCGCATTGTTAACTACCGAGTAATCACAATTTCCATGGAACAGGAACACTGAAGAAATCGCATGTCATTGCATGTCATCAACACCCAGTGTTGATCAGGTGGTGAAAAGTCATTTGCCACGTGATTCGCCAGCCGATAAACATAAACAATGTACCTTCATACGCGATAATACTGATAAGATGGTTAAGAATTTGTCGACAGTCCACTAGTGGTTCCGTACCATTTGAGTCCTTCATTTGAGTCCATTCACGGCAACTGAGTAATGAATACGACAAAAGTAATGCCGCTTCCCAGGTGTTGTGTCTCAACGTGCTCAGGGTCGCCTCACCCCCAATTACCATTTCAATCAATCAGTTTGATTAACTCGAAAAAATCGGATGCATCGCTGATGGTCGAATCAGGGTGAGTTTCAAGATAGTATTACCCCGTCAATAAAAAACAACTGGGGCTGACGTTATGATAAGCTGATCAAGAAGGGAAATTACCCTGGAATGGTTGAGCTTATGCTTCTTAGAAAAATTACAGAACTATGTACTCTGGCAGATTGAATCCCTCTGAGATGACCGCTGCGTCCCAGTATCTTGCAAGCCCATCTCACGCACCAGTTTTTTTCTTTCACTAGCACATGCTATACACGGAACGAAACGAACTAAGGACAACGTTTTTTGGTCGAACGCATAACACTCAAGGGCTTGGTTTAACAACAACTGTTTCCAGCCCATAATGCACCACAAAAAATTGAGATCGGGGGAGAAATAAAAACAATGTACAGAACTCCGGACTCGGGACCCCAAACAACCATTGTCTAAATGACTGCCAAGGAAGAACTCGACTATAACTTGAGTCCACGAGTCCAGTTGAAGCAACAACACAGATAGCATCGTTAGATCGATTTAACGATTTGAAATAAGAAATTACCGCTTACATGAAAGTCAAGTAGGGGAGGGGCGTTGGCCGGTACTGTAGGGTTTAAACACTTTTTGTCCGCCGCCGATGACCCCTGAAACAAAACAAGAAATTTCAAAGTATCGGTGAGGAATCTCCAAATTTGCATGTAAAAAGTGTGGACCAATATATTGTGGATAATCTACTGGATACTATCGTCAGAGATTCCAATTAAGATCACTAAGGGATAGATACTATGTAATCGAGCCCAAGATAGCTCAGTGATTAGGAAGCGAAGTGATTGACCGCGGGGTCCATGATTTGAATCCTGTTGCAGCATCTCAACTACTCTTGTTTGGGCTTGGGTGACCTCATAGCGTCTCAGCCCTCGTACTTCTTATGAGTAGCACGACAGCTGGGCGCCGAAAGGCTATTACGAGTGAACGACTGCGACCACTATTTACAACATAGTCGGAACACACCCTCCCTGAATTCACCACCCAGGACGAAGCAATTAAGAAAATTGCTGCGACCTACGTACACTGATGGTCGTTGCAACCGGGCATAGTACCACCCGTAGTCTTCAAGAAATCTTAATTGCCATCGTCCGGCTCTTGACAGGTGACTGACCCGCTATGGTTTGAAGCAGGTCTAACACAGGGGAGATGGCATTTGAGCTGACTTATTACTAAGTAAGCGAACAAATCACCTCGGCATCATCCAATAGGCTCGAGCATGATACCAGTGTATCCTCCAACGCTGTCCACAAACCTAGAATCTAAGGATAAGGTGCATAAAAATACACGAGATGTTAAGCAATTGTCCACAGAAGCACTTTCGTCGGTGCTGTAGGCGGAACACCAATTATTACAACTGACTTATCTGGCCGAGGTTCAGATAGGCGTTATACTGACGATCCTAAAGAGAGACAGAAACGGATAATCTTGGCGGCCTGAGGCATACCTTAGTACGTACCCGTTTAAAGCCATGCCTCATAACCCATCACAAGCTATTTATGTCATGATTCAAAATGTCACTCTTTAAAAGTACAATTAACAAGCCGTTTCAAAGTCCACAAACGCACAGCTGACGGTAGCTGACGAAGGAAGAGCAACGAATGTCAGCCAACGGTCAGTGGATGAGGCTCCAGGCTAGGACGACTCACCCGGATTTCGTATCAAAACACTTGAGATTGAATATCCAGAAAACAGTTCAACTTCCACTGCTAACCGGGGATACTCAGGGGGACAGTTCATTGAGATACAGGGACCAAAAAGACAGACTTACGCCTAGCCTGACTGAATCCAATGACTTTTGGAAGTAAACACCCACCCCCACGGAACTGGCAACAAAAATAAAAGACCACTTCCAAAGGCCTACACCTGCACTCGATGCCTCAACTGACCAGCTTTACGGTTTGAAATAATTGAGATCGCGGCTGTAATCCACTACGGAACCAAAACTCGTTCAGCTGCGTGTACGTCGAAAATTCCGTCATACTATTGATGGATAACGCAGCCCATTGCATTAAATACTAGTGTAGTATTCCCAAAGAGACTACAAACTAGTAATCTTCCGTCACGATGATAGTGACTTTCTCCAAACCACAAGAGCCGAGTTGCTGATTTGAAATGAAAGTAATGCCACCGTTATGAGAGCCCCTATGATGCCGGGACATATTGGCATTGTGGGGGGGGGGCTGTACGGTACATGCTGGATGCTGGGGTAATCTGTATGAAACGTCTACTTCGTCTGTCATCAACAAGTATCGGTCGAATTTCTTCGTACTAACGTGATGTGAATAATCTCCAGCTAGGTAATGGATTCAAATGCCGCACTCCTTCCTTATGCCATTCGGAAAGCATAGAACTGCTCCCTACATCGAGATACTGTTTACCTCAAATTTCAGCCCAAAATGGTACCAGGATCAAATAAAAGTACAGAAGTCCCACAATCTACAACGTTTGAAACATTGGAGTCTCTTAGTACATCTTGTCAAGACAGAAATGTGAAACCGATCGTGAGCAGTTCAGAATCTCGACTGACTCTATGAGTAGTATCAGAAGCAGGCATTTTTACGGGATGCAATTAGTTCGGTACTACTCGCCAGCTGTATTCAAATACAGACTAAAAAGTAAGATGTAAATGGGCTCGTTTAGGAACTACGGTTAAAAGGCGTACCGATCACCTGAATCATCGCTTTGTGTAGTTAATTCAAACCACCGCCATGTAGTGTCAATATTTGCAACAGCTAATGGATGTGCGATACCATCTACATTTTCTTTTGTGTTGCGCTTGCTTTTAGGGATACTGAGAGCTGATGTTCTAGTTGAACGCAAATTGAGTGGAATTTGCCAAATAAACTTTCATCTACATACGAATCTGATTTTGAAAAAGACCATCACAAACGAGAGATTCAGCCGTATTTAGCTGAGTAACCTGTCAAAACCGAATTCGTATGCAAATGAGCATTTGGCGAATTCCGCCGAATTTCGGTCAAATTAGAACATAAGGTTGATGGAAACTGGTAGACAGCCGCTAGCTGATAAGCCCCAAAAATGCGAGACCATAGGCTACCGAAGAGTATTCAGCAACCTTATGGGTAGTTTGTACGGTTTGGACGGTGTATTGCGATATCTCGAGGGGGCCTGATGCAGGACATTCATTTGAAGCGGACCATCATAAACGAGAGAGTTAACTGGGTTTGGTGGAATCCTCTTTCAAAACCAAATTCGTGAAAATAAGGGCATCTGGTAAGACCACACCATTCTCCCTCCCAGGGAATCAACAAGAGAGTCCGCAATAAGTGCATTACGCAGGATTTTTCCGGTATTTTCTATACGAAAAAAGGACATTCCTATCCCCCAGACGATCGAGGGAATGGTAACCCGAGGAGCGAGTTCAACTCAAAACAAAGGGCCATGAACCACATGATTTGTAGGGGAAAATCAGCAGTTGGATTGCAACTCTGAACGGTGAAAGTCTGGGGATTCGGCTAATGAATTGAAAGCTTTCAAGCCGTTCAAAACCCAGCCATATAGCTGAGTAAATCCAAACTCAAATCCTGAACAGTATGGATACTATTGGGAGCCTGAGATTGCCCTTACACTACAGATAACGGCGTTCAGTTTGATTTTTCCATCCAAATACTACTCCATTGACGCCTCTATTCGAGCATTTTTTTGGTTGTGCACCACTTAGTTGTTGTAATCAGCGAGTCTGAAATGCAAGCGAGGGGCTAACCACCAGTAATAGCAATACACCATCAGTAGACAATGGTGTCTGACTGTGATACAACAACGACGAGGTACGGTTGAGTGTAGGGGAAAGACAAAGGATAGGTGAATTAAAGCAAAAAGCCCGGGTAACTGGATCAAGGACAGAGTGCCTACATGTTTGAACGAAATAATGAAGTAAACGCACTTGAGCGGTGACTTAGAGTGAGACATAATTAACGGGATCGATCCAGCATTGACGAAGAGGAGTAGCCAACACAAGATCACCGCACGACGATAGACGAACACAGGTTGATGACAGTGTTGACATGCAAGGAAAACCACGTGAGCCAGAAGGTTACGAAGATCTCGCAGCGTTTCATCCGACTATAGTCGTTTTCATTCCCAGTTGTCATGTTGTGGGCTATTCCCCGTGAGATTTTTGCCACCATAGGTTGGGGCTGGAATGTTGAGGTTGTTTTGGCTGACGGAGGTTGAGTGTGCTCATAAAATGTCACAACTACTCTAGCCTGATACGTTCCATTTGCTGTCCTAACGATTCTGCTTCCCTGGCAATTGAAAACCTATGCAACATCTCGTTGCGTGCATGATACAACCAGTCAGGTCCTGTTAGGATATGGAGGCGTTGGAGGTTTTCATGCTGGAGAGAACACGTTTCACAGCCGTAATTTAAAGCGGCTCCTACACACAGCCCTTCAAATTCGGCACGATTCGTTTTTAACGCAATCGGCGAAGTAACCTGGCAAATGTCGTTCGCTTCTTGATAACACGTGCATTGACAACCGGGTTATGGTAAATGTGAGGCTTATGCCTCTTTGGTTTGACTCGCACCGAGCACGTCTTCGAATAAAGGTGCAAAAACTCAAACAGATGAAAATGTACCGGAATAATGGCAGCTCGGGTGCGTTCACTGTTGGTTGATCAAGTGTACAGGAGGAATTACCCACCCAAACATGCGTTGATGATGTCGACTCGTTTGCCAAGCTCGGAAAACAGACCGACAACCACCAGATCTGATGCTCACTCCCACTAATGAATGATGCTCATCAAAGCTTACCGGGGATTCGAAGGTAGGAAGACAGTTTAACACATCATTTACAGAGAGTGAAGTCAGAATAACAGACGTCAGCCTGATTCAAACGGGTTGGACGATGGACATAGGTACATGAGCAGAGGGTTAACTAAAGTGATGTTAGAAATATCCCCAAAGCGATCCAGACACCACATTACATTACATTTAATGCTCAATAGTCTCAAGTCGATTCCCGGAGGAATCCTGACTATACGCGTTTACCGGGTAAAAATGCTACTAGTAAAAAAACTGTGCAAGAAGAAGCAGATGTATTTACGTCACTGACAAGTCACTCACTATAAAAACCAGCTTGTTTATTGTACATTTGACTAGTCGTCCACTAAACAGTGGATCCTCAGACAAATAAGAAAACGGAACATGTTCGGAGAACGTTGTCGATGAACCCTGTGATAAATGAGCCACTAGCTAATGAATTATCAGAATTCGTCAACCCACTGACGGAAAAGATGACTCAGTCACAAATACAAATATTACAGGTTAGTATCGAGCACTTACAACAGAAATTGTTTCCAAACTGTTATTGTCACCTTCGCGACCGTTCGAGACTACAGGAAACGGCTCACGCCATCGACGAGCTCCCACATCCGTCAAGCTTACGCCATCCCCATCGACAAAACTGGGAATACCACTCGAGCGACAAGCGACCACGTTCAGTAGATCATGTGTCAGCACACCGCCAACACTGTCTGCCACGAGGTACACGCAACCATTAAAGCCGACACCTTCCGGAGAACGTAAGAACTCTGCATAGTGCGTGTTCAGACGACAAGCTAGTTCGTGCAACAGCTGTTGACAGAAAGAGAAACGGGAGACAGTGTGGGTGGCACCGTAGCTTACTTACCAGTCGAGAATTTTTGAAGTCAATGAAGAACCAATAAAAGCACTTTCTTTGTGTATAGCTGCGAGAGGATTGATGTAATGGGTGGTTGTCGAGCAATTTTTGTGCCAACTAGCCGAAGAGACAGGAACTGATTCCAGTGTGAAGAGACATGCTAACATGCAGTACCTCCTCTAACCAACGACTTCGCCCCAACCAAAAACACAACAAAAAGGGTGGAAGGCACGCAATTCTGACGCTTTATAGGACGCAGTACTCGTACGATTGATGAAAAATCCTTCAATACCGGTTTGGCACTTTTTGATGCTCATCGGATTGGAGAAGTCGTGAGACTTCTATGAATCTTGAACACCCAGTTGAACAAATGTGTGACTGAAAATTCCATATATGGAGATTATTTTGGGTTTCCAACTAAATGAAAGTCAAACCCCCCAGTTCACGTGCCGTTCTAAACTATGTTTGCTTCTTTAACACAACATGGCGAATTTTCGTCAGACTCTTGTTTAAGTTCATGAGATTTGTGAAGACGCATTTCAAGCTAAATTGCAGTATCAGGTCAAAATGTGAATGAAAATCCATCAAACAAGAACAACATCGCGTACGTAGCTAGAGCAAGAGCACTACATAAGTCCGTGATACTTAATATGGAAACAATGCTAGTAAGCTCAGGCGTCCAATGTGGTGGTAAACGGGTGCGTATCAACAGCAAAGACCAGCGTCACTGAGGTCTCCTGTTGCAAGGTAGGGATAAGAAGCGTCTTCTTGGGGGGGATCCTGCAGAAAATTAGTATATTTTGTTTGTCCACTCTACATCGAGGCTACGAATAAAAAACAAAATTTTTACAAGTGCGAGTTTCCATCCAAAAGAAAGCGTGGCAAGTGTGAACATGAACGCGATCAACAGCAGCCAATAAGAGCCGGTGTGCGTAAGAGACTTTGTGCTGAGACGAAGCGGATCCTCACGGTTACTTACTTTACTTCACACAAGGTGATTTCTAGTGAAACGGGGAGAATCAGGCGGCTTACGATATGCAACAACGTCGAGAGTTAGACTGTTAGACTAAGTTAGACTGAGGAACCTCCAAAACCAGAGAAGCGAGGTCTGGCATCTAACCGATTAACAGTGTGATCAATGTACACGTGGACAGGACAAGACATATGTTGGTTAAATTGCACAATGGTGCCAGTAGTCTACGAGATGTGAGCAAGCTGCTCAAAATGGACAACGCGTCACAATACATGTGGTAATCCTCCGATTAGTCGTTACTCGAGGAGTCAGGGGATACCAGAACATGTAACATGAATTACCTGAGCAATCTATACACGTTTCCATCCGGGGACTGCAACTTCAACTGTCCTCATAGATGTATCAGTTACAAAATGCTGATTCGCTACACTACGCTGTCGACCATGGGGAGAGGTTACTACTTTGCCCGGCACTACAATGACCTTTCACAAGAGCTGACTTACGCAAACCCAGAACCCCAAAAGCTTGCCGAAAGTAAAATCAAACCAAACTAACTGTGGCAACTTCGGTCATGTGCTATAGGCTACTGATAAGCACCTGAAGAGAAAACATACGAAGAGGAGCCAACGGTTATCGAGGCGATGGAACCACTGTGGTGTCAGATTAATCAGCTGTGAACTGTGTATCAGAGGTAGATTGATTCCAGCGACCACAGTTTAGTTCACCGACGATGGAGATGATACAGATGAGATAGGAATGACTTGGAGGCGAGCTCATCAGAGCCAGCTCAATGTTGCTGAGTTAAAATAGTTTCTAGCAATATGAGGTCGGGACAGCTACGCGACGAACGTCTCAGTGGATTCGTCTATAGATATTACTGACTAGTGCTGAGCTGTCCCAGGAAGATGCAAGTGGGTTTGAGAAATCAGCCGAGTAACTGACTAATTGCTTCTGTGCTGTTTCCATATTGTACAAAGCTAAGAGAAAAGTGCAAGTAGTGTGGAATACACGGGCTAACCACAGTAGTTATAGGGTTGTGCGAGTTCAGCTAGCGAGGGTAGGCTGCCTTCTCTGAAAGCCACCTGGCATACACCCCATTAGCGATGATCCCATATTCCCATCAGGCTCGGGTAATGCTTCGAAGACACTGATGGTTAAACATTGGGACTGTTTGATAGGAGTTCCAAATGGGTAGGAGTATTTTTATGCCACCTGGGCGCAAAGATGACTTTTCGGATGCATAAGATAGTATGGATCGCACTGCTACCACATCGTTTCCATAGGTGTCCGAGGTTTGCAGAAAGCCATTTTCTGTGCAGGTGTAAGTTACTTCACCCAAAAGCCTTAGCCACAATTTCAGGATTTAGTCGCGCAGCGTCGCCCATGAAACAGCAGGGAAAACATCGTCATAGCCCCACATACATTCAGAAAGACATTGTATGCAGTCGATGTTTCTGTAAACTTACTTGAGAGTAGTTGGGAGAATTTGTGAGAAAAAGAGGGACGCTGCCCAAGGGCATTACGTCATGCGCCAACTGGACTTCTATTGGTATTTTTGGGTCCATCGGGAAAGTCTTTAGTCTGAACAATATGAGAAAAGACAGCAGTGAACACGAAAATACCCACCAGAAGGAGAATAAGACGCTTTATGGATGGCAGAAAAGAACTGTCATAAAGAAACCTGGCCTAACTTATTCACCAATTACAAACAAAAGAGTCGATCGGTAAGCAAAAAGGTTTATTTGTATATCCAGGACGGACTGCGGACCGTGATTGAAACACACCAAACCACACAGATTTGACGTTCGATTTGTTGAACGGCTACCGTGGAATCCAACAGATGTACGAGGACTGGGACACTTCTAGATCGGATGAATCCGACCACGCTTTCCTCGTCGGGCCTTATACCATGGGTTAACATTAGACTTGAGATGAGAAGTTCGTTAACGTAACACACTCATCTAGTCGTATTGAAGATGAGGCATGGATCTATTGGAGGGTCAATGGATCAACCGAGGAAAAAAGTTCAGTGATTAAGGATTTCCTAATCGTCGAACAGCGTCTTCATTGAAGGCCAGAGATAGGTAGCACTAGCGAAAATGCTCCCAAACCCGCAGGGAAGAGGGTGAGAACTACGGCTCACGGTCTACCAGACGAGTGTTCTACTGACTGAGCTAACCAACACCACACTCGAAAGTTTGAGCTGTATAATCATCATCGACATTGAGCTGTATACCTTGTAATAAGGTATCTACCTAAGGGAATAACAACCGAAGAATGTCAGCGGGCTAGCGGGTAACTCTTGCGTGACTTGCTAAATGAATCAGACGTGGATATCATCAACAGATCTAAAAGGCTTTAATGTAAATTGTTTTAATATGAGAAGGGGACTCGGAAAACCATGTAAATGAAAGGTGGTATGAATAAAAAGATGTCTGGGTAAGTGTTGACCACCCGCTATCCTTCTAAGAGAAAAATAACAAGCCTCCACCGGGCGGTACAAAATAGGGAGCTTTGATCTCAAACGCAGAGGGAGACGAAACTTTAATATGACAAATTGGGCAGATGACATTCACGCGCTATGAATAGGAGACGCGGAAGTCTTACCGAGCGATTGTCTGAAATATTTCGGCTAATCCAGATGGACAAGGGACTAGACAAACGGCGATTCGGTTTCGAAGTACTATGTAATGGTTGGCAATAATGGTTTCCAATGTTTGCCGGAATGTGTTCGCATCCGAACGCTTGGTTGCTAAGTCATTTCCAGTGTCCAAAAGACAACCTGAAACAAGTGGAAGGAGATATAATGGCTGGCTAATCCGTAAGCACCACAAGACAATGAATAAGGGCATACAAGCTACCCCTTACCGCTGGTTCGTGACTCGATGGTTGTTATCCTCTACTATGAAGGACCAAACGCTCGTTCACGGCTAAAATACGCGGCTATGCTACAGAAAGATAAACGCAAATTAATTATCATTCGTATGCCCATGAAAAGAGGCCATTCGTTTGTGCGAAGATATGAATATCCGACTGAGCCTCGTTTGACTAGTTCGCTGGAGACCTTATGTGATGTCCACTTGCACTTTTAGCTGACCATCATTCGCATCAACCGGTCACTTCAAACCCGATTGCCGAACACTTCCTGGCCATGTTGCTTAGCTACATCAGGGCAGATTAAACTCGAAGCTGGTTGCTGGAAGAAGCACGCTAATTCCTCTGAATAGCTGGATCAAAGAATCTTAGAGTAGCATTTCTACACGTGAAACATGTGTGTACACTGAGAAGGGAAGCATAGTCCACATTTGCGAAACTGGACCATTGTCTTATGTTCGAGAAGGATAGAATGTTTTGCAACAAAAATTTTCATTTCAGCAAGTTGAAGAATGCCAGTATGATTATGTTTTAGTAGGTTAGTTCCTGGTAAGATTCGCAATGTGTTCAAAATGTTGGTAACTCGGATGCGTTTAGTGGGTGTTCACCAGACAACGCCAAGCAAAGTTAGGAGATCAACAATCCCTTGCTGAACAGTCAGCAAGTGTGAACGTCGCATCGTTACATCTGCATGATTGAACTTGGAAAATAATTTTAGTGAATTCCACGGAACCCATCAGTTTTTATCATCCCATCGAGTGACGAAAGCTCGTGCTTTCCAAGATTAGATTGTGATATTTTGTGTGACAATGCAGGATGAAAATCCATTAACAAGTAAGCAGACGGAAATAAGTGTTCAGCTTAAGTCCCATCGAGATTACCGCATAGTTTCAACTGTCACCTAGTAAACCTGATTCTAAATGTCTACTAGAGCAGCAATCTCCTTCACACATTGACCATCACACTCATATTTGGTTCGCCTCCAAACTTTTATGATAGACCTGAGTAGCTTAAATTTTTTTCTAGTATTAGGATGATCGTATTTATATGAAAGTTACCTTAGACTAAACGGATCACGGTGACTCCGCGAAACGTACTGTGATCCGCAGGTTGGAAACAAGTGCTCTGAACATGGATAGGAGACGAGTCTGGACTTCTAGACACATGTGCCAAATTGAATAGGAAAAAACTTTCGTTGTCGTTCAAAGGTTGTTTCCTGAGCACTCGTTGACTGAAATATGAGAAGCTACCGAGATATCCGTACCTGGTGCACACATGCACAAATGTGAAACTTCGTACCTCTCCGAGAACGCACACTACCCTATTCCAGACCATAAGAACCATGGAATGAACATACAAAAAACTGTTAACTGTGGTACGACGGGCATAAAACGACATTCAGCAACGTATTCGTTTCTGGACCGACTAACGCTGTTAATTATTTGGGGAGTTTTGGGCGAAAAGCTCAATTTGAGCGGCGGTGAAAGGAAGACGCAGGAAGTCGTGTCAAGTGGTGACAATAAACGAAACAAACTCCAACTCCTACAACGTACCACCATGGACGACCATAACCAGCGCCAATTTCTCCTCATTTCCGGACATATTCGAGTTGTTTGTCGAGTAATGGGCCAAGGGAAAGTTCAAGTCTGAATGAACGGAGAAACAGGAAACTGGGTGATCAGTGTTTGTTGGAATTGCTGTAGTCAGTTGTAGCATTTAAATTAATAATGAGAACTGACCTTCGGCGCCATCCAAAGTATTCAACCCGTCCACAGCAGACGCGGTTGCAGACAGGTAACAAGAAGTCTGTCCAGTCACGTGACTCCGACAAGAGACAAATGAGAGTGTGTCGTCGTCTGTGAGGAGAGAAATCAGAATGCATGCTTGAATTATAAACTCGAAATAGCACACATCCGGTGGATTAAAGGAGGAACGAAGTGAGATGGGGAAGTGCATGACGTCAAGTATCGATGTTAGATTGAATATTCTAGAGCTTGAAGAGGAAAAGAACAATCATGGTTGATTTTGACAAAAGATGTAATTATTAACAGGATGCAAGGCGAACAAGGGCGGCTTTATTTTTAAAGCGGAGTAAACTACAGACAACAGCTACGTGTACATCTGAGTGCTGTCTTGAAGGCTGAGGGTCAAAAGCCTTAGCACAGCTGGAAAAAATGACTTCAAACAAAGCAGACATCTGAAACGCGGACCAAGATCAAACGAACGAAAGGTGACAACCGGTTTTGGAGAGTAGGCACCGCGGAGACAATGGAAGAGCTTATTAGGATTTTGTAGAAATATCCAAAATAAGGTTCAGTAGGACGCTATATGTGAAAAGAAAATGGCGTAGATTATCCAAGAGATCAAGTGACAAGTGGATCGGATTACGATCGGATTAGAAAACAATATGAACTTATCAGCCAGTTGAGTGGAAAAAGTGAGGGGATAGGAAAACCATGGAAGTGAACTGCAGTGACTAGCAAACGCGAGTGGAAAGTGGACAAAGCGATGGAGTGGATGAAGCTCAGGCACTCCCAGTAAAGCCAACAAACGATAAATTCTTGCAAGACGACAAGATTACAAGCGATAAAGATCGCCATGTCACGCAGCGCAAATTAGCGAATAGCCTACAATAGCATTGATGGACTACTACTTAATGCTCACAAAACGTTGGTTATGAGAAAGAGAAGCCAGTCGTAGACAAAGAATAAACAGAATACCAGAATACAGGGCACCCCATCAGATGTGGATCAAACGATTTCGCAAAAGGCGTTCAGCTGCGGAAGTACAGATTGCGGCAGCGGAAGACAATGGCTCAAATTACGGGTCATACGGCACGGGAACCGTCAAGATATGTCACGTCACAAACAAGTGCCATGCTTCATCCATATAATTTCAACCTCTACTGCAGGAATCAAAATCTCAGGCGCAGAAACAAAAACTTCCAGGACGGAGAAGTCAACTGAGCCGCTGTCAACTATTATGCACTGATTGGCATTCATCATGAACAAGCCACCGGTACTTGTTTACTCCAACAATAAAATAGCCGCACGGCCAAGTCAGCTATGAAAGTGATCCGGGTAATAGGGAGTATTGTTTAATTAAGCCTCTCCGCCTGGCTATAACACGTAGAAGTGAATAGTCTCACAATATTTCGGGAACTAAGATATTATTTATAAGGTGATGAAAACCTAGGAGTGTAGGAACGGCGTATACAAATCTGCATGATAGCAGGCCTTTAGGCACTTGGCACATAACACTGTGTGGCGTGGTATGACCTTTGATTTCAAATCTACTATGCGGAATTTGATCAGCTGAGAACACCACCACAAATATCCATTTGAAAGCTTGAACCAGGTGCTAACACTTAGTTGACCTGTGGTATCTACACTAATGGCGCCCAGTATTAATTTCGAAGGTACTTCACAACACTGAATCAAACAGTCCCTGGGAACTTCCGATAACAAATATATTCCGAATCTAAACGAAGCTTCCATAGGTACCAATGTAAACTGTATTTCTTGACCATATGTGTCATTCGACGCTGATGGACGCACCTCAGAAGGTTCAAATAGTTCAAATTATTCCTCCCACCACTCAAAACAAGCTACCATTGATGACCTGCAGCCTATGTGTAATCATATGTCGGCTGAATTTCACGTGGTTTCGCATGACTTTGAAGTCTTAAACGACATACGCTCACTCACCTAAACAAACAACTGGTAATCAACCTGCTGCCACCTGTGACGGCCACTAATTGAAAGACGCAAAACTCTTCATATTTTCGTCAGCCTCCTGTGAATACGACAAACATTTGACGCTTCTAAAGTTGTCTTCCACAACTAGCACTTTAACCCATCAAAAGAACACCTCAAAAAGGACCACGAGAAGTTTGACTTGCCTTTTTGGAGTTGTTTGGCTCAAACGTGGCCGAATCACTAGCTGGATGATTAAGTGCCCACAGAGCAAAATGAGTTGCTTTACCTTCAAGCCTGTAATCTAGAAAGTTACTTTGGTTTCATTGCAAGACGGGACACAAAAACCGCTATTCGGACCGGTCAGAATGTGAGGATTCTCGGGGATATCAACTCACGATTCCGTCCTGAATTTGAAGTGGGATATCCAAAAGCTCATATGAGTGTTTATTGGGACGCAGCAGGCGAACATGTCGTGAACAGTTACATAATGCTTTCCAAGCCAATCTACGCTGAGAATCGGAAACTCACCATACAGCTGTTACATCCCTATTGGGAATCACCACTGCGCATTTCAAGATGAGTGAAACTTCCCTCTGAGAAGTCGTCACTCGAGGAGCAAATTAATACTTGACCAAGTGGTGGTTTCACTGATCAAGGAATGAGTTGCGCTATACCCTGTTCAAGTGTGAGTTACTCACACTGCTGATCAGCCGCACATGGCCCAACGGTCAAGTGTTCAAGGCCCGCGGGTTCGAAACTTCCTTTAATTATGAGGATACTGAGACATGCGCAACGGTCGAAGCAATCCGCTGTCCATTTGGGGGTGTTACTTTTTGGGTGAAAAATCGGTTTAGGTTGCCTTATCGGAATGGTTTTTCACCAATCGAATATTTCGTTCGAAAACGCACGCTTGGGGTTTACAAACTGCCACACAGCAGACGTCACCATTTAGCTGAAACCAACCTTTTACGGTAATTCCGGAGAAAAACGCAAATGATACAGAAAGCCGAGAAGGCAGTCTAAACGAAATTTCTGCGCTTTCTGAGAAATCACCACACTGTCAGACGCGGATTCTTGACATAAGACTGATGTGCGCAATGGAGAACAACAAGTGTGACTGCTAACCTGAGCTCGAAAGACGAGCAATGGTGACAATGCACCATGTCATGCATATTTAGATGCTGAAGTCAAGCATGAGAGCGTGAAGATACGCACATTGGACTCGTAGTCACCTGTTCCGAGTGACGGAAGTGGTCTGAAGTGTTTTCAGGGTGCCAATAAAGACAGACATGTGCCATAACTATGGGTATACATCACCAAACTCTTCTCACAGCAAGTGGCCCATGCATTTTCTGCAATCTCTGCAATCTCTGCATTTTCTGCACTCTCAAAGTCTGCACAACAGCTGCACTGCGTCCAAGTACTATTTCCCACCTCTGAAAAGCCTATAGTTTTGTTTTACTATATGAGGATAGCCCGCAAACCATACATTGAAATGCAGTGGTTTCAGCTGCTACAGCTTCCTTCACCTGGGATAAGGAGAATAACGGAATGACAGCCATGCAATGAAGGCAACGGTCCGATCCGTGCACTGGCGTTGAATGGTTCTGTTTACCTGCTGTGACATGAAAGGAGGGCTACAAAGTGAAGCTGACAGCTTTGACACAAGGCCGCCAATGGCCGGGTGAGACAGCTATATCTGTCGTGGTTACTGATCACTGGTATGTTTCGTCCCGTGTTCCTCATCAAGGATGACCGTAGCTACCAAAGTGACTGAGTTAACCGGTAAGTTCGTTCATCCTTCCTTGCCAGGTCATGGACTGGTCACACGTGAGTCGTGTCCATCCGACAGCAGGCTGGGCGAAGACGGATATTCGAGGCAAACGGTCCTCTGGCATATGAAACCAGCATAACCTAGGGGGCGTGACTAGCGGATCAATCGAGGGGGAGCTTTCCCGAAAACCATATGGTATACGTCGGCTTCACTGACGTGTTATTCCTATCATACTCGCGTCATGCTTCAGGGGTACTCATTATCGGACAGAGAGCCTTCGAAGGTATTCCACACAGGGACCACCTTCCCGATCCATAACTCGGAACATATCGGACCGTGGCACTGTACACTCTACCCCTGACAGTCAAGCTGATGCCACGTCGGCGCCACAAATGTCGTAGGATAGTAAATGCTGTCACGGACTTCCCAATTCGGAGTTACTTTGTCTTTCGTCAGACCGCCAGGACTTATGCCGCTGACGGGGTAAACGAACCTATCTACTAAATCGATCGCTTCACTGGAATGTATGAGGTTTGCGTATGATCCCACCTAGCCTTACAGCAGCATTTTACACTATACAGGTGCAAAGGTCACCCCGAAGTGTGTAGAATTATTTAGATCATTTGAAACAGTCTGCATTTTTAAATTGTGCGATTAAAGAACGATATGGCTGGTGAACTCAATGTTCGCAAATGAATACCCCGGGGGTATTTCGATCCCCAAGGTGGGTAAAGAATACTAAAAGAGCATATCGAACATGGAGTTAAAGAGAAAGCAACAAAAGACACCCTACTAACATCACAGGATGTAGTGAACTTTAGGGAAAATTCGCCGTAGACATGCACGCATCCACGTAGGAGGGATGTCTCCTTTAAGGAGACAAGAGTTTAAAAGGGTCAGATACTGCCGCTGCTTCTGACAACCACCGGAGTCAAAAGTAGATTTTATATAGAGAAATACCATCACTGTTGGTCGTCGTCGGAAGGGCATTTACCGCAAGATGAAGATATGATCGACGTGATCCCGGACAGGGTGAAACCAAGCTTTATGCTCGCGAATCTGACTCTCTCGGTGGCGGATCAGCCAGAGTAGGATGATACCTTGGGAGCCATAGCCGCTAGGCTGACACCTTGCGGGTTTTGCACTCTTTTAGAGAATTGGGATTTTGGGTGTTGAGCGGTTATGATAGCCGGGTCATGTTTTGCATAAGTAGCAGTACTGAACAGGAGTTTTTCTGATTTTGGCGATGCAGTAAACCTGAACACTTGAACGCGCTCTATGAAGGTCCAACAGCTAGTCTGTGGCACACAGGTCACTTCATTCAGCAAGAAACTGACGTGCTTACAGAGTGCAGACCAACTGTGCACACGACAAACAAACAGCTGTTGGTGCATCCAAAGCCCGGCATCCGCCACCACTAGTCAGATTCCTATACGCAGCACTCCAGCCTGACGGCTTCCACTGCCATGTAGGAAGCTGACATGAAGTCAGCCTTCCTGTAGAGTAGTTTTCTGAGTGTTAGAATGAAAGAGCATTGGAGTGATATCTTTAGCCTTTTAAGCAATGCCGGCCGCGCTCAGAATTACAGTGTAGCAACTATCGTAAAAAGTCAAACATAATAAAATACCTTCCTGACGACCGATGGAATTAGTCGGTCATCTCCTTCCTGTTATAAAAGCCTCCGTAATCTGAACATTCGTCTATGTTCATTTGGGGGTTCACGTGGTCAATCTTGCTTGAAGCCGGAAGCTATGGGGACATGGTAGACAACCGTGCTTAGTCCCAGCTGAAGTATATTCAGTTTTTGTGCCGGGATGCTCGGTCCAGTAAAGCACTGAGTCTTATTGTCCTGGGGCCACACAGTTGTGTGTATCCTAATGATTTCCTAAAGAATAGACACAACCTTGATTGTCTTCCTAAGAATTTCACTTCATCCTTCAGCATTTGATTCCGTTCCACTTTCATAAGAGTTCTCATTAATTCTGTACGGCAACTGACATACTGTCAGTGAAGATAATGTTTTCATCTTAAAGATACGGCACGCATAAACAATTTTTCTTGCATTAAATAAAACGACCGTGCAGTACACTCAGGCGAAACTGATAAAATAAGGAGTGTGTGCCGATAAGATTTCTGAACTTTCCGAGGACACTGAAAACGGATAGAAAAGAATGCCACGTGGATATTCCGCTATTCGACCGTGAACGAGCCAAGCTCACGTGAGTGTTATGTTGGCTCACAGAGGAGTTGTGAATCCATGTGTTGTCCGGTACTACCTCCAGTAGGGATGAATGAAGCGAGCCTTGGGCAACTAAACAATGTGACAACTGTGAACACTAGAAAGCTCGGTTGATTCCGCTTGATCTCAGTTCGATATATGGATATAGTCAATAGATTCATGGTTCCATTCAAGCAGCAGCGATCGTAGTTCTATATTCTATTCATGTCCTACAGTTAGGGGAACCCAAGATATTTTAAGACAAGGTATCCCAGTAGAGGCCAGCTATACAGACCAGGGAGCCGGAAGAGCAACGTCAGTTCAAGAGGAATGTAGCGCAGCACAAACACCAGAAAATTTCCAATAGACCGTTTGGTGTTATTACACATTCTTCCAGTGTGCAACCAGTTGCGACATTTCATTAGCTTGCTAATGGAATGAATGAATGGAATGAAACACGTTGACATGTGAAAGGTTTGAACAATTGGAAAAATCGAAAAACGGGCTACATCACCAAGATACTAGCCCTCCATCGATCCTAGCCAGGTTTAAACATTCATTACATGTTGGAAACACGTGAAAACGAATCTATCCTTTTCGGAAGCTTAGGAATAAAAATAACCGATTAACATTTTGAAGGCAACGAAAGCACCATGAATCCTCTACAGTTCAAGAAGACTATTACGGATAGATTATTAATTGGCTACTGAGGCGAGCTGCAATCCTTACCTGTCCGCCAATAGCTCTGGGCGCAGACGTCTAAAGCGAGCTTTCGTAGCTCGGCTGTAAAGGCCAATAGTCGGAACTAACGACTCTATTAGTCGATGTACAAGAAGAGGAGATTCGGACTACCTTGAACAGAAACGCGAGTACACATGAGGCAAATGTATGTGATCCAGAGTTGATGCTCTCACATACGGAAGTAATGGTTTACCAGCCGAGACATCCACAACGAGATCCCCACGATATATACATTCAAGATTATTTGAATCCTTGTATCTTCTACATCTATTAACATCCTTTAGACATCCAGGTCATATCGATGTCAGATCTACTATGGAAGTCAGGAGGAGCTGACTAACGTTGGACAACCACTAATCCATGATATGGAGGTGTGTACACGTTCGACGTCAGCGTGCATCGTGGCTCAGTTGGAAGAATGGTACTCCGACAAGCGAAAGGTCATGCATTCCAGCCCACATGAAGAAGCTTTTTTGCTTGAATCGTTCGTGCCTGGATTCCTGTTGAAGTTTATCATTTGATTAAACATTCCATTTTTAATAATGTAGAAGGGACATGCATAGAACGATAGTTTTCACTACAGTTTTGATCAGTCTAAACAAAACCAATGCAGTATTTTTTTTCAATAACTAAACAGCTGGACTAGAGTGCGATTGGCGCTATTCAAAAATAATAATCGTTCAGCTGTAACACCCTTCTGGCGCCTAGCTGCCATGCCAACGAAAAGAAGTAGGAGAGCTAGGATACTACCAAGCCTAGACAGGAGCAGTCGAAATGCAGAGGATGGTTTCGAACCACGGACCTTTCAGTAAATTCGCACTTTAATTACTAGGACATCTCGACCTCCTATTCAAAAATGGAAAGGCCGCGTCTAAACAAGGTCGATAGCACAGAATCAGCTAAGTTCGAATAACGCAAGGATGTCGGAGTGCAGGAAATGCGGTAAAAAAAACACGGGTTTTATATCAAGACGGTCCGCGGTAAAGGTGGGGAAGAACGGCCATGGCAGTTATGTAACACAGACATACAGGGGAGATCGACCGAGAGACTTACCAAACTCACACAGGTCCGCTTCTCTATCAGTGTCTTCCAACTGCTTCAAAGTATTCCACAAATTGAGCCCTGGCAAAGAACAAATAACTACCATAAATAATGATAACAGGAAAAAAGCGGGAAGTCCACAAATTTCCTTTACCAAACACACATAAGTGATGGGCAAAGCATCAGTTAGGTCAGCTCAAAAACCCTTAGGTTCATGACTCAAATGAATCAGGATTACGAGTGAGTTCACAGCGGTGGCGTTGAACATTGTTACAGTGAGCAGAGTTATCGTGTGTTAGGGAGAGGAGAGGGGGCGGTAGAAGACGAGATAGTGCATGTGCGCGTATATGACCTTGTAATGACGAATGAAAAACCCCGGGTTCTGGGAGCAAACAAGTGTGTAATTGAGCAATATTCGTTCGATATTGGTTGAACTAAAGACGGCAGACAAATCTAAGGCACAGTTGTTTTTGTTCAACGGTATGTCCACGATAAGGAGGACTGAACGACGCATCATGCAAGTACTGCACATACGGTGGGAAAATGAAAGATATGCAAAATCAGGTAGTCTTTGAAGTGGCATTGGCGGACGCACCTTCACTGTCATCTTCTGGCTTGAGCGACGGGGCACTTGAAGCGCAACACTCCGCTGAATTCATGGCAGTTCCGAAGAGCTGAATAAATATAACAGTATAAGGAATCATGTGTACTAGCATGAGAAAATGTCTGCCATGTGAGTAACTATACTTGTATGAACAGTGGGAAATGCATCATTCTGAAGTCCTAATTGCACTACTTCGACCAGGTTATTGTAGGCTTCTACATGATAAGTGGATGAGTTTATATTCCTCATGGTTTACAATTGTGGACAAGTGGGGGAGTTAGGACACCACCAGTGATAATAGGAGTGTGGCTCTGATCGAAGTGAAAACGGAACAAGTAGGTACGGATCGGTTCTCAACCAACTTGATAAGCACGTGTTGCAGGACATCCGGAGGTCACAAAGAGCAATGTCTGAGTTAGTTACAAGCGTTCCTTCAAAAGGAACACTACTGTTTGATCCCTCGAGGATTTCTCCAACAATGTGTTCCCTCCTAATGGGAATCGCCCCAATTTTTCGTCGCCTCTCCAGATGACCTGTTAGGAGGAGTTCTAATGTGTGAAAAACCTGATGACACCTCAGCAGCGCACCGCATCTCACAAAAATCCAACACAAAATATAGGTTCTAGGTCACACAGTTATTTATTCACGGACGGAATGTAATAGATAGCGGAATGTGATACCCATTGAAAGGTGCTTGTACTGGCTCCATGTACGCCATTGCGTGAAATCGACTAGGCAGAAACATCCAGCACAGAAGGGCGATCGCCCTTGAGTCCACATCAACTCGCTGGTTGACATTTTCGACCAAAAAAGAAACATTTCCACATGATGGGTGGATTTCTGTGGTATATCAGATGAAGTCCCATACCTAAGCCGCCTAGTCATACGTAAAAGGGCGCAGAAACAGCCTGTGCCTCCGATTCCCATGCATATGAGCTTTGATTAGTCAGTAAAGTGAATCCAACATCCACCTGGCATCAGTCGCCGATGACGTATACAGAAGTCACTTGAACTTCTAGTGTTGCCCCTTCCGACGCTTCGAGTAAGGCACGCTTCTTACCCGTTAGTTTTAGGCGTGAACATATTCAGTGTGCCTTTGATATTTATTCCGCTAGAAACGCTACCTTGGAGAGGTAAGGCAGATAACTGAGCCCAAGCGTAGCCACACTGAGAGAGTGGCTGAGCCATGGGTCATTCAGTGCATATAATCGCTCCGATGCATCGTTCAGAGGCGGTAGTTCCTAATACGAATATCTGGTGAATATCTGCAAATAGTGTTGGTTTGAGATTCCCCGGTAATTAGTACTGTTGATCCCGGGCAATACGACAGTATTTCAGTCACTGGGCTTCCCGCGTGTTCATAGAACACAGTTTGACCTTTGCGCACCTAGGGCACCGTAAGTCTACGCGGTCAAGTGGTATGAAGACTGAATGACAGCGAGCCGCTGTGGTCGACACGAACAACGTAGCAGGAGTACGACCCGTCGGGTATCACCTGACCGGCTCGTCATCCGGTGAAACGTACGAATCAGAGCTTTTAGTGTGAATCTCTCAATCCAGAGTTAAATTCTATTCAAGTATGCATCATCAGATAGGCGATAAATTACTGGAGTGCGTGTACAGCGATAGTAAGCGTGTTTGTTACTCATGGCTTTGCTGAGGATATACACTAGCGATGGATTCTAATGTGAGGATGAACCATTAGGAAGCATTGACCGAACACACAGTGGAAAGAAATCCCTTTCCAAGGTATGACCTTTCACTGCTCGAAAGGGGTGAATTCTTGACCCCTAGAACTCCACCGTTTATCACACCTTATCAGAATGCGATGCGTGGTTGCCGCATCGTTTGTGTGTTGGGAAGAAGAACGCGTCAGCACTTATTTATGTTGCCAAGAGTATACGTTAACTGGATCACCAGGAATAGAGATCCATTCAAGTCGTATGGGGCCTACAAAGGTATAGCGAACTTACTAACCATTGCAACTGTCTAAACGGAGTATTTCTTGTTGTCGTTTTAAGTCAACAGCTGGATCAAGCGGCTAAGCGTAACGACGACATATTTTGCCATTTGAAGGAGAAAGGATTGTGCTTACCGGTTCGGACGCGCTGTTTCTTGCACCGCATGGGGCGATCGATTGAACGACAGGCATGTCCTCGCCCACTGCAGTTTCTTCAGTCACTGAGCCCTTGGATCCAGCCATTCTGCTCGCCAATGCTTTCGCAGTTTCTGCCTCCAGTCTTCGGATTTCCTCAATAGTCAGACCGTACCATTCATCTTGCCACGTCCAGACTTGACGGTGAGCGCGGACCATTGTTTTCCGTAAGGCTAGATGAAAGAACGCCGGAAAAACACTATAGGGGCGAAGATCTCAATCAGTAGGGTTGAAACTGACGCACAGTGTTCAAGGGTAGCGTTGGCATGAGGGTGGTATATCAAATCATTCGTGAAGCAAGGAACCGTAGCTAAGCAAGCTATTCAGTCTCGTCTCGCACGACCACCGCGTCCACACAGAATCATGCCACACAGGATAAAATGACAAGCACTTAGAGTCTAACGTGTCGATCAACAAGTACAAGTTTATCCCTGAGGGATGGGTAAATCATGATTCTCTGTTCACTACTTCCTCTATACTACCTCAAATTTTTAGAACCCAAGTACCTGTAGAAAAGGCAACCTTTGCTAAATGGAGTAAGTAGGAAGCCACTCAGGGCCGGGAACAAAGTAATTTTTATTTCGCCAAACAATTGGTTCAATTCCAAAAACGAGACACCACAATGGAAATGTCCTGAGTCAACGACTAAGATTTTCCGTGCATGAGTGCTAGAACTCGTTGATTTCATGAGTACTGCTCATACATCATCCCATCAGCGGCCACTTCTGGCAGGGCTTGACTTGGCTCCGTCAGTAATTTTGCTTAAGAAGGGCACACGGAGAGACTCGCTAGAACACGTCAAAAATTCGATATGGTTTTATAGGAAAGAAGCTAACGTGTGGGCTCAAACACAACACGATTCCACAATATTTACCGAGTTCAAATAATCAATTAACTCTGTCGTTGTTGTGGTTCTCGTGACATATTAGCATGTTTTGTGCTATGACTCAGTTAGTGAAACGTGAATTTAATGACCAACTTCTGTTGTCTAGGCTTGGGCAACATGGCATTGTCTCAGCCCTCGTACTTCCTTCGGGTGGAATGGCAGCTAGGCACCGGAACGGTGTTACAGTCGAACCTGTTGTGATTGGGGCGTAGAAAAATTTCGTTTGTAGATGAAGACCACTTTATAGGTTCCATTTGTGGTGAGATTTCTTGCTCAGAGGTATGCAAGGATAATGAACATTCAAACCAGATGAAAAAACTAAAGTAAATTCAGTGGAAGTCTCCAATGTGAGACACCCGCATTTAAAGATGTGTCAATCATTCAAAGATGCGACTAGCTTTGTTGATCAATGAAAACACGAGTAAGCAAAGAAAGAAAGAAAGAAAGAAAGAAAGAACGCATTCAGCTGTAGCACCCTTCCGGTACCTAGCTGCCATGCCCCCCGAAGGAAGCATGAGGGCTAGGATACTGCCAGGTTGCCCAAGCCCAGACAGGGGAAGTCGAGAGGCGGAGGTCGGATTCGAACCATGGACCTTCCGGTCAGTAAATTCGCGCTCTAATTACTTGGGCCNAAAGAAAGAAAGAAAGAAAGAAAGAAAGCATTCAGCTGTAGCACCCTTCCGGTACCTAGCTGCCATGCCACCCGAAGGAAGCATGAGGGCTGGGATACTGCCAGGTTGCCCAAGCCTAGGCAGGGGAAGTCGAGTGGCGGAGGTCGGAAATCGAACCAGGACCTTCCGGCCAGTAAATTGCGTTCTAACCACTTGGGCCATCACGAGTAAGCAAGCATCTGCTACACAATTTGTGCTGTGCTACTCACCAGGATTCGACCCAGGAACAGCAAAAACTAAGAATATAGTCGAACAAAACAAAAGGGTGCAAGTGTGACACTTTTTTCTTTGAAATGTGAAACGGTGCAATACCTGTTTGTACTACTTCAAAACAAAAAAAAACATATTCAATCGGGCCAGAGGGATGCTCAGAGAAACTACGTTTAGAAACGGCAGATGATCCATGGGGGGTGCTCAACGTCGCACAAATGCAACGATCGAAACGGGACTGCTTTGATGTGAGGTTTCTGGAGATTTCACTTGCGTTTTAACATGATCTCTTCCTGGGAAGCAATGTTTCAACACAACCACTGATTGCCGACAAGGTCAAATAAGGGAGCGAGATTTTGGGGGGCCGTGTTTCTGTGGCTGGTGTAGTTTCAATTAACAACGCAACTCGAAAAAGTAGATCGGTAAGTGGGGGGTGAGTTGCGTCAACAACACTGAACCGTGTCAAACTCACCGCTATCTTGAATAAATTGTTCCACCCTACTTTGCATGCCCCAATAACGGAATTCCACCCGACACAGCTTGTAGGCACACATGATACGTTTAGGGAGAGGGGACAGGGGACCGTTGACTTGTTGATTGTCCGGTGTACGAGTGGGAGAGTTCACGTGGTTTTCGTGAGTGATCCGTTGCGCATGGTCGAATTCTTGACGCCAATTTGTGGACAAAGGACCTCTCCCGGTGGCTTTTGAAACAAACACAGTCGGATCCTCTTCAATTTTATACTCGGATTTGGATATCGCGTCTTGCACAATATCTATGTAATCTGCGCAAGCATTTTCAGGAAGGGAACGGAAGGGGTGGTGACGAGAAATCACTGATGGTCATCATTTTGGAATTAAAGAGCATCAAAACATGGGAATGTTCTCTGGTAGATGTGCTATGAATATTCTATCGGGTTCCTCGTATTGCCACAGAGATTACATCGTGTTAAATAAGAGGATCTGAAAACGCTATGCACGGAAGAATCGTGAATCGCGATGATATCTGTGATTTAAAAAAAGAATTCACCGGAATTCCCATAAACTGTGTCGAAGAGTTTTCAGTAAACTTGTGAGTAGCTTTCTCCAGGAAAATATACTGTGATATCTTAAATATTGTACCAATTGAAACATGAGACAGCCTCTGTCCAGTGCATCCAGTTTAAGAGCATCAAAAACGAAAGCTTCAGATGGGATTTAGTCGAGTCTCTCGTGAAAACCAAATTGGTGTGCAAATGGGTGTAATCGGGAAACACTTCTGTTCACGATTCTGTAAGACATGATCTCCGGCTAAACTGATTGTGTTTCATGCGCATCCTAGTCAGACGAACGGGGCTCTTCACGACCAAAGGTTCCGAACAACTGCTGGATACGCTTGTCCTTTAGACGCAAATCGAAAAATCTTGTTCAATATTCATCCTACTTGTTGTCTGTTCACTTACGGGCCCAGCACCAGGGTTCGCAATAATCCTTTATATTTAAAAAGAACTTCGTTGCGTATTCTGGCACCACCGTGGAATAGCGTGTCATCCTTCGATTAATACAAACAAACCATCATCTTGCGAGCATCACTGAGAGCTGATCACAATAAACAAGTCAACCAGTGTGGCGGTGCCACATCACTTGTTGAATCCGTGAGCACTGTGCATGGCACGCGCAGCTCAAGACAACTGCCAGCTGGATCAAAGCATAGGCTTTGATAATACTCCGTCAGCACGTCACACGATCTCAAGGAAGTTTCACACAGACTAAATTAAAATCGAACATAGATTCGCCAAGCGGCTGCCTCGGAGAATGTGTTAAAAAATAAGTGAACAAATTCGAGAAAAACTGGTGACCCTAATAGGGTCTCGCAATGCTGTCACTCAACACTGCCGGAGCTCATGGGATGGTGAGATCCCTTGCGAAGCCCGATGCTCGTCACGTGACATTCTGCTCAGTAGTGTTCGATCAACATACCAGAAATCCATGAATCTATGAATCAATTGAAAATTTCTTATTAAGGACCACGAGTTACGAACTAGGCTCACAGGGCTCCACAACGCAACGTGGTACCAAAGAAAACCAACTGATATGAAGACAGACGTCTGGGAGTTACCAACAATTCGCGAGTTCAGCTCATCGGTTGACAACTTGAACACATTATCTTGCTGACCAGCATCGTCGAAATAGAGCGTTTCGATATCCAAAGTGAGCTTATCGACAAATGGGACCTTGTAGATTGTCCGAGTGTATGGATAGGCGTTCCAGGCTTCTTCTTCTACGCGCAGCGCCGATGGAGGCAGGATGCTACGTAGCCAAGCTGCGAATGGGCAGATGATAAGTGAAGGAATGAGAAGACGATCAGATTCTACCGTTGACAGTTGGGTCTTTGAACCCCAGAGCATTGAAAACATAGGACTGAGGACGCTTTCTCATAGCAGCATAAAATGTTGGCTTTTTCCGAAAACACATACTGAAGCTCACTCAATCAGTTTTTACTTAGGCACTAAATGAAAGGTCACGACAGGTGCCTTGCTAACTGATTCTCGGTCTTTGTTTAGCCATACTTGTAAGCCAAGAATCACGTTAGAGCTCCGAGAAAAGTAAACCAACTTTTCAGATCTGATTGAGCTGAACAACTGAGCATAACTCCTGAAAGCACCAAGTTGTCGGGACAAAAACGAAAGTGATACTGAAACTAAGTGAAGGGCTCAGAAAGATCGAGTACACCTTTATGTCAATCACTGAAGAACCAGTGGAGAAAATTCGAGCTCAAATTCAGTCCCCCGAATGCGCGCCATCTGAAAAGCTAGGAAAAACATCACAAATATATGGCTTCGAAGCTCTACTATTCCTATACACATGCTATCAAAATTAGTCCGTCGGTTAGAAATGAAAAGACCCACAACTCGGCCATATTCCATAAGAATATTACGATTCGATCAAATTTATCAAAATAGAACAGCAATCGAGTAAACTGGCCTATCATAGTACAGTTAGGAATGCTCAGAGTTTTGAAGTACCGAACACGGACCTAATCATGCAAACGAAATCGAGGCACGAAACTACACGATGGTCCCTTGCAGACAGTCTAGTTGACTGTTCCGATAAAATTAACCCACTTGTGACTCAATATAACAACGAGGAGAACAGCTTTTGACGAAAAAACATGATTAAATTACTTTGGAAGTTCAGGACGACATACAAATGTCAAATTTATTCGTTTTATTTGGCATGTGATGAACGGACAGCACGAATTCGAGGGGATGAGTTGTCCAGACGAAACACGTTGCTCTTAAGCTTCGATGTCTAGATGAGTGTATTCTTCGAGTTGTTCATGAACAGTCGAAAAGAAATCATACATGAACAGGTCGGCAATTGACTGACAGAAATACGGATGCCACATGAATTAGGGCGAGAGAATTCATTGATTTGCAAACCAAATGGGTATGACTGTCATTGAATCGAGGGTACTTTCTGACCAGGAGAATTGACCTCTTGTCTTCGGCGATAAAAAGCAACTTTTGTGTCCGATCTGATTCAAGCGTACTCACCCATCGGCGAGATGACCCAAGACAGTTAATTGTACTTTGGACATCCTGACCTGCTGATGATGCGTCAATTCGAGTGTTGCTCCGTTAATTGAAGATTAAGTCGCATCGGCATTTACACGATGGAACTTGTGCACGTGAACATACTTTCAGATAGAATGCGTTTTTCACACGTGACTTCACAAGCTCATTATGGATCACTTTACGTCCATCAACCAATCATCTATAGACTCGTTTCGTAGCAGTCATCAACTGTCTCCCAGATCCCAGTTGGAAATTGCATGATAAGTGATGTGTTCTCCCATGCAACTAATTTGAATCAAATCTAGAGTAAGTATGTGAAACTAAGATCTGTACAAAGTCATGCAAACACAAACGCCGAACAACGGCTTTAACCGAAGACATAACCAAAGCATAACACCCAGGAGAGTTTTGTGTTAATGAATTCTTGAAGTGGCAGCAGAGCCCTAATTGGAAGACAAAACCTAAACCAACTCAGTACAACAAAGAACGCTCTTACAAAAAAGCATATTGCTCTTAAGCGCAAATACGAGCGAATGTTAAATCCAACGTTTCTCACTTTTGGTGAAGCCTAGTCAGAATAATCGCACCGGTACAAAAGTAGAAGAATGGCTCAAACAAGAGAGATGCTAATACAAATTTTAAAAAATCCAGTAATTACACTTTATCAACAGTGAATTCTATTGGGTGTGTTTAAACCCACCTGGCAGATGACTTCCAACATGATAAACCTTGAATGTGTATTGACCCTTGCCTCCGGGTCCATCCTCATAGGGCTCGTTCTTAATTATTTCCACACCACTGCCGCGGCCTGTGCTTTCCTCGCGTGACTTTTTCTGTAGTACACGGGAGAAGCAAGGGTTGAAAATTTGAGCGTGTAATCTTATAGCCCAATGAAAATGAGTTAAAATAGAGGGAAACGATAAGAAAAATGCACAGTATACCCTAAGGCAGCACTAAGTGAAGTCGAGCTACCAACTGGGACACAGCTGAAAGGTCACAATTTCAAGGGTTTCTGTTCAGCCTGTGATATCATCTTGAATAAGATAAATAAAAAGCTGCAGTTAGGCATCCATAGCGAGCAACCCAAATTTCCAGCTTGAGAACAGACACTACTCATCATATTCCCTGAAATATGGTGCTAGCCTCGGTAATTGGAAAATCATTCGCTTCTCAGAAGCCTATTGCCTTAGACTGAACGGAAACTTTCACACCCCGAGGTGAACCGTGTTTCAACAATCACATTGGATCAGTACAGTAGACGATCACCAGAAAGTGGATGTCACATTACACACAATCGACGTTTGTGGCTATTTCATGCATAATGCGGGTGGAGCTCCTGACATGGAATCCTACTTGATGTCAATCTCAGCGGTCCTTCATGACTTTGAAACGACGTATGTCGGTATAAGTCACCGCAGGCTTGAGAACTAAGGTAATCCCTTACCCAAGAAAAGTAGGCATGTTCCATCAAGCTCTCTTTTCCCGGATGACGA